ATTACTAGAAACACAAAATGTATAGATGGCAGTGCTCAGGGTTTAGTATTTGTCTTTGGGGGCTGCAGTGGTGTGTAAGCTCCAGGGAAGAGGATTGTAGCCCCAGAAAACAGCAGACAGAGTGGAAAGCAGTATTTAACATAGTGGGCAGCCTGGAGTCAGCTCAGCTTTCAAGCATTCAAGGAATCGCCTTGAAAAGTTAACTCATTAATTTCCCAGGTCCTGAATTCAACATTTTCAGAAACTTTCAGGTCAAACTCTCTACCCTTCAAACTTCATGTTTCTGGCTTTAATTATTTCTGCTTTGAGCTTATGACCAGTTCCTTAGCATTTTTAATATAATTTTGTTAACTATTTGAAAAATTTCATAGCCATGTATTTTGATCATATGCATAGTCCAATCCTTCCCAGATCCAGCCCCACTACCCTGCCTTCTCTGAATTTGGGGACTATTAGGGAGAGGTGGGTATCTAGTCTGCTTTGGAATCATGAATTCTTAATATCATTATCCCGAATCCTGCATCCTTGACTGACCCTTCTTGTCTGGCTGTTCAAAATGGAGTTCCTTGTCCAGTCTGCATCTGCTGATGGAAGCCCCAGATTCCTAATGCATCGCTGTGTGAATTGGTCCTCTATTCTGCCAAGACTCGGTGGTAGAATGCACATATGTGAGCCATTGCAGAGAACAGAGAAGCAATTCAGACTCTGGGAACATTTTTAGAATAATGATACTCAGTGGAGTTTCACATAGACTTGCATTTTAATTTATTACTATGGGCCACTTTTGTCAAATAAAGGATGTATTTACACTACTCAATATTTAAGGTTTTGGGGACATGTTTAACTCTTTTTGGTTTGTTTTTGTGCTTCTCTTTACAGTTTACAGTCTAGGTCTTGATGGTGGGAAAGCTAGACTGGAAAGAAGGGCAACGTAGCTACATGTAAAACTGCACAAAGTGATTAGAGGACAGACAGCATGGAAGACTGAGCACTGGGGGCTGGGAAGCCATTCTTTCCCTTTGAGCTTATTCCTCCATTCAGTCTGTCTCTCATCTTCATAGTTTCCTTCCCAAACACAACTATACATGTTATAATATGTTTACACTGCAAAGAGGCAAGTTGTTCAACCTCTAATCATTAGTATCCTTCTCTGTAAAATAAGGGAAATGTTCAAAATGCAGTATTTTAGAAATATCTAGGTGATAAATACTAGTTATAACCATTATCATAATTCAAAGAACAATAGCAACCCAATAATCCTTCTGTCCATGTATGTTATTTCAACTACTTGATAGCTAAGCAAGTCCTTGGAATGCCCCCAAATTCAGGCTAGCTTGAAGGATTAGTCTATATGAAACCATTTCACAGGTTTGGGTGATACCTTGGCTTTTCCTGGCACTAACAAAATAAGGAGGACCAGGCAAGATGAATTTTCCCTTAAGGAGCATGGAGAGCCACCTTACTATTCTTTTTCAGTAAGGGCAGAAACAAACTCAAATACTGAGGCTTATCTGAGGGTTAGCTCTCTCTCACCTATAGGCACCTTCGGGGCTTTTTAGCTAAAGACTTAAGAGCAATGACTTAGCTGAAGTTCTTAAAAGGAAGCTGAGAGTAGCTCAGAACTGTCTTCAAATCACAACAATTCCCGTTATTCTCAGGGTTCCGGTGGAGGGACACAGGCAGTGACAGGCATGGGGTCTGAGAATGACTTCCATCAGTGTGGCTGCAGACACCAGGACACAACACGATCCCTGTCCACTCAGCAAGAGACTAAACATGCTGGTCCTTTCCCAGCATGTTGCCCAGGGGACTTTCAAACCTACAAATCTACTATGATTCTTGAAAATTTTTATAAGAATTTTGAAATAGCTCAGAAATTCTTGCCAAAATTTGATGGTCTATAAACATTTTCCACTAGGGGAAACTAGAGTTCCACGAGGTGCTAGATGCCAGGCATTGCCTTTTATATGTTTTAAAACATAAATGCTTTGATTCTAATGTTTGTGTCATATGCTAAACATATGTGACCTTAACTAAATAGCGCATAAACCATCATAAATTAATCATCAACCTTAATAGTTTCCTCATTTCAAAACACATTTGTTTTGCAAGTTCATGCCTTAAGGCCAAGGTTTTAACTCTACACAGAGTTTAAATGAAAAACATATCAGGATATGAACGTTTACACACACACACACACACACACACACACACACCTACCTCTAGATACTTACAGTTTTTCTGGTATTTTAACTCAAAGTAACAGAAAGATTTGTCGCATACTTGGGTACTAGGATTTTGTTGCCTCTTATTGACAATTTTTGATGATTTGATCTCTACTTTATTGGAAGGATGAAGTTAACTCAAAGTCAACTTTTTCAAAATATCTCCCTTGTTTTCCTCATTTATCTCTATATATGTGTTTGTGTATATGTGTGCTTTCATAGTCTTTTTCAGAAAAGAAGGCCAGATGGAGACTTGGGGCCTCTCTGCAAAAGGAGAGATGAATTTAGATGTTATTTAAAAGCTACCATTTGCTTCCAGACTTTTCTTTATTTTCAGATTGATAGTTGAAAAGTTTTTTTTGATTCTAAGACAAGCTCATGCTCCTAATATCTCCTTCTGAGCTGGAGTTCTTGTGGCTAACACATTCTGCACAGGAAGAAACAGAAGGCAATGCAGAGGAGGAAAAGGCATCTTAGAGGGAGGCAGATGAGCAGAAACAGGGAGATCCTGGCCATGGTCCTCCCCCACACTCTATTGCGGAAAGCAAGTTGAAGTCCAAGGTGAGTTTCACTCACAGAATGCCTTCTGGAAACACATTTGCTACTTCTGAAATCAAAAAGGTAGGATAAAATTTTGCAAGTAAGAACAATTTGCTTGGTATTTTTGCCAAAAATAATGAAAAATGTGAAGTATGAGATTTTTGTGATATACAAAATCATTCAGAAAATATCTTAGTCTGCATATTAAATATCTGAGAGAGAAGACTTCACAAGGATTAAACTTTAAATGTTCTTTACTGGTGTAGCTATTAATACTAAATATGAAGCAGTAACATAATAACTTAATATAATAATACTTTTATACATATTCATAGCCAGCTAATCTTTGAAAAATATAAATGGCCATATGCTTCTATCGCAACACAAACACAGCCAAGTATCTATTTAACATATTTTATTTCATATCTTATTTTAAACAGAAATAAGCTTCTGCTTCCTGTAGGGAAATATTTAGTATAATAACAAAAGGGTTTACCAATGTTTTACTTGGAGCAGGAAGTAATGATACTTACATACTGAGTCTTTCTACTTTATTAAATTTTAATGTTTTGATAGATGCTACGTGTTAAAGAAAAAAATGCCATACTGAATACAGTATGGTTTGTTGACAGTGTTAAGGCTTCTTCAAGGATCTGACTCAAACCCACCTAAACTTTGGTCAGAGCATCTCAAATTCTATATGTATCATTTATGTGACACTTTCAGTGACACCTCTCACTGGCATTCTCACAGTTACCCCAAGAATTACAACTGGGGCAGATGTGGAAATCCCTCTTACAGATGATCCTTATTGCCATGTATCTTTAACCTTTTGTTCTCCTTGGGTCAGGCACGAGAAAAGAGCACCTACTACACCATAACGGAGTGGTCTATAAGCATTCTCACTGCTAACTACTGTGGCAGAAAGAACAACAAAAGGATAACAGTTAACATTAAATGCATATATCGTCTTTCTGCAATGACCTAGAAGCATGAGAGACAGAACAGAATAGCTGAGTAGTTAAAAACAAACTTCTTTCTATAAAAACTTTGATTATTCATTCAATCAATTTTAGGTGATAACACTTAATTCTGGAGTCCAGAGGTTAGCAGAGATTGCAAAGAACCTGCCTCCAAGAAACTTTACATGCCATGGAACCTTTAGAGCACCATTCATAATAAATAAACACAATAAATAAGAGAATGATGCAGTCTACACATGAAATACGTGTCAAAGGGCGGTGGTGATGTTTTGTAAGGGGAACCTGGGGGGGGGGACCTTTAGCTGAGGCCTTAACATCTCACTATTCTTGCAGATCCATGGTCCTGAAAGCATGAAAGAGGTGCAGGGATAGGAGCTCAGTGTGTCTTGCTGTCAGGGCAAGGGCAAACAGACAGAAGCTGTGTCAGGTCATGAGGGCCTCAAAGGCTGGGGGAGGTTGCTGAGTTTCATTCCAAGGCCAGAGAAGCCATCAGAGTACTTCTAAGAAGGAATGGAATTTTCTCTGATCCATAGTTGTAAAAGGCCACCTAATCTGCTTAGTTGTAAGAGGGCATATTTGGGAAGGGGAAGCTCACTGAAGAGGTCATCTTGGTACCCAGGCATGGTGGTGGTTTGCACGAAGGAAGCTGAAGAAGAAAACGATGCAGACTGCTGGTATGTTCTCAACATGAAATTCTCAGAATGAAGCACAGGGCAGGACTCTGAAAATCACTGACAAGAAAGGACCAAAGAATGACTAAGTTCTTGGACTGCACAGCACCTGCCTTTTATAACACCACAGGGTAAGAATTCAGGTTATTGGTTTGAATGTTAGGTTAAAGGTGTCTAAAAGAAATTGAAAGATTGTTTGTGTAAGACACATGAGAAAAAGCACAAGGAAGCAAGGTTGGAGACTTAGACACCATCATCATAAAGACATGGCATAAAGCTATACAACAGGATGAGAAAAGCTAGGGGAAGAGCAGGATGAAGGTAGAGAAGAGGGTTCTGACCTGAACCCAGACTTTGGTACAGAAGAGGAAGAAACAAAGAAGAAGCTACCTACCGAAGAGTCAGTTCAAGAACCATGAAATCAATCAATATACTCATGGGTGTGTTTCCCAGGAAATCCATAATTATTCCACACATCACTATTCTTCTAGCATGTCAGATAAAAATTAATCACATTTACCAAGGTTCCTTCTAAGTACTTCCTTAGTAACTAGTATTGTTGCCTACTTTAAAAATCTTACCTTTGCTCCAGTGTCTCCCACACCACGTAAGCCCATTGGTCCAGGGGGTCCAGGCATTCCTCGAGGTCCCTAGGGTGACATAGCATCCTTGTAAGTGAAGGGAGGGAGGGAAGAAGAGAAGAAGGGAGGAAGAGAGGGAGGAAAGGAGGGAGGGAAGGCTTCAATATTGCTACAGCTGACTATAATTTATAGGGAACTATAAGAGTTCAGAGGTTCCCAGAACAAATAAATGATAAATGTTTAAGAAAACAGAATGCTAATTCATCCCAATTTGGTCATTACATTGCATTCATGTCCCAAATTATCATACCGTAGCCCAACTATGCATATTTAATATGCACAAATTTAAAATGATTTATATGAAAAAGAAGACACATCCACACTTACAGCCACACCAGGATAGCCATCGCCTTTGAGTCCTGGAGCACCCACAGGTCCCCGAGGACCCTGGGCACCCTGCAAAAATCCCAAGACTGAGTCATGGTACAAAAGCATGAAACATCTAGCAGAGCTTATGCTAAACACAAATTCAATAAAACAAAGATGAATTTGATAAGGCAAAGGAAACTTTAGGAAAATATCCTGACACATTTAGCAGTTTCTTATCTCCTCAGTGGTCCTATTCATTTGCAGTCACTGGATGTGTGACGTCAAAGGCCATTACAAAGTCGTCTATAGGAAATGTGGGAACTGGAAAATAGCTGTTGCTAGTACTCTAATTAAAAATGTACAAATGCATAGTGTACCACAAATCAGGAAGAAATCTTCATGTGAGAAAATTTAGAAAATGTAGGGGTAATAAAAAAATATGTAACCTAATTGACAGTAGACTGTCAAATATTAAGAGCCTACCACATTGGGTTATATCTATTGTGCTCCTCTGTGTGCCAAAATTACAGAGCATTGAATCACCCAATGGAGAATCAAGTAGGTTGAGTGACAGCCCCTGACTATTTGCTGCAAACCTCTGGCACCATGACTTCAACTAGCAGCCATCCATCTCTGATGGGAGATGTCATTCTGTATATGTTTCTCATACTGGTTAATGAATAAAACACTGTTGGCCAATGGGAAAGCTAGATAGGAGGGAGTAGGAGACAAGGAGGAAAGAGGAAGTAGAAAGGAGGAGCCAAGATGGATAGTCTGGAGAAAGCAGTATGCCGGCCGGCTCCCGGGTAAGAGAAATACATAGATCAGCAGAAATGGGTTAATAATTAAGGCAGAGCTAGCTGATAAGAAACAAGTAACCGGGCCAACAGAATTATATCTAATACAGAGTCTCAGTGTGTTATTTGGGGCTGGCGCGGTGACGGGAAAAGACCAGCTGTGGCAGGCGGAAAAACCATACTCGTTACACATCTCTTGTACAGAAGTCAGAGAGACATGGCTGTTGTCCTTTTGACAGGAGTGTACTATTAAATGTGTAATTCCATTACAAAGAAAAAAATCCAAGAAATTTCTGAGTAGAGTAAAATGGGAGCAGAGGAAGGAAAAGAACATGAAGAATCTGTTAGAAGATGTACTAATTTCACAGACTTACGAAACATATATTTAAAATGGTGCTTTTGCAACACACAGCCTTTGTCTGTACACATTGCTCGCTTTGATAAAGAGCTATTTGTGCTTTAGATTGTTTATCTATTATTTTACATTAGGTTGAAACTCTAGTAACAGGCCAACTTTTGTTTTCCAAGAATGGAAAAGCAAATGGCACCTTCAAATGTTTCCTTTATACACAAACAAACTCTGCGATTAAGTTGTGATTATCCCAACCCAAAACGTGGCCCTCAATCCAGCTCTCCAATAGTACTAACTCCTGACAAGGAAGAAGTTTCCAGAGAGCTTGCCTAAGGAAGAATGATCCACTCTGATTATGGATTGGTACCACCCCATACACTGGAGTCTGGACTTAATAAAAAGGGGGAAAGGAAAAGGCTCCATGACCACCAGCATTCTCCTTTCTCGGCTTCCTGACTGGACAAGATGTGAGCAAATTCCTGCCACCACGATTTCCTTACCATGATGAACTCTGCCTCCTTCACCATGAACCAAACTGAGACCTTCCTACTTTAAGTTGCTTCTTCTCAGGTATTTGGTCACAGCCAGAAGCAAGACAATGAATCTGGAAAGTGACTTGGGTCAAGACTAGGGACAAATTTTTATTTAGAACACTGCACAACATTTTCATAAATAGAATTTTGCCATTTTGCCTTTCTCTGCTAGATTCACGAAAATGTCCTGCAGAAATAATTCACTTTGGCCTGTCTCTCATTCAACAGAAATCAGAACAAAAATTGAAGTGTGGTATTAGGGCAGGCCGGAGAGTTCCCTGAAGTATAGTATGTAAAACTGAATTAGCGTGCCAACCTTCCATTAGACGTTCAAAGGAGTATGTGACCCTGAAAAGTGTGAAAATGACTATGCTGGGAATGAAGAGCATTAAGAATACCACTTTAGCGCAACAGGGGAGAAAATGGCTGAAGAGGCGAGCAGCTTGAAGTACCGTCATCTGCAATGCCCAGTAATTATCAGCAGGTAGCAAGTGGGGCGTACCGGAGTGGCACACTGTCATGCAAAGGCAAGAGCGAGGATAGATAAACAGCATAAAACATGGAATATTGTAACATGAAAAATAAAAACCCAGGGACAGATATTGGGTTCCAAGCTGAAAGATCAGAGAAGCAAAGCAGCCAAGCCAGTAGCTCTTAACCTCTACCCAGGCTGAGGCAACCCTGCCCTGTATGTGGCTAGAGACCAAAATGCCCCAGACTGACTATCTGCTCCTATCTTGTACACAGCAAGTGCTGGTATTAAACGCATATGATTCCAAGAGCTGAGATCACCTTTGTGTGAGCTGTTTTTCTTTTAGACTGGATCAATTTCATGTAGCTCAGCGTGGCCTTGAACTAACAGAGATCCAGCTGCTTGTCTCTTGAATCCATAGACTGGCTCTATGGCTAGCTAATGTGGCTGCTGAATGTATCACATGGCCTGTGTGTGTCTATGGCCTGTGGCTAACTTTGCATTGTGAACCCTCAGGCAAGCTTCAATAAATCATTAATACTATGTCACCACAGAATATGAACAACCAGTTATCAAACCAACATGGAAACTGTCCTGCACACATAACCAAACAAGATAACAATTATAGTTTGACAGTTTTCCTTGAGTCAACTACATAGCCTTGGTCCCTGGAGCAGGATGAACAACCTGGCTAAAGTTGTCTGGGATTTTTTAAAACTTATTCTCGAAAGCTTTATGTGACAGGAACCAGCAATCTTGGGCAAACCAGAGCAGTTGTGACTCTGGTGATATGAAAAGAGTGTTTTCTAACAATGACCGAGTCGAGAAGCATTTAACCATGCAAGCTAGTTTTCTCTAAATATATGAAAAATAAAATTGCTGCTTATTCCTTTCTTTTTCCCCAAAAGACATGGCCTCTTTACATTTATTTCATCAACAGCTAGACAGTAAAAGTAAATAATCAACTTATTAAATGGGATAGCTTAGATCTTGAACATCCCCTGAACGTCCGTGTTCAAAGGTTGGTTCCCAGCCTGTGGCCCTACTGGAGGAGGGTGGAGCCCTTAGGGGGTCAGGTCTATTTGGAGAAATTTAAGTCACTGGGTACATTTCCTCAAGGAGGATATGGGAACAGCAGTGCTTTCCTATCTGCTTTCCTATTTCTTTTAACTCACTGACTGCCATGAGGTGAACAGGAACCTTGTACCACATACTTCCACCTTGATGTTCTGAGACGCTACAGAACTCAAGCAAAATGGACACCCTGAAAACTCTGAAACCATGGGCTAAAATAAAATAAGCTTACAAGATGATGCACATATTTCATCATGGTGGCAGAAATCTGGCTAACATTTTAGTGACCAAGTTCTCTTCCTCCTGCTCCTCCTCCCCCTTCTTCAATTCCTCCTCCTCCTCTTGTTTCCCCTACCCCCTTGCTTTTACCCTTCTTTTCTTCTGCAGTGCAAGGATCAAACGAAGGGCCCATATAAACTAAGCAAGTATTCTATCACCTAGTTGCATTCCCAGCCGTAAGTCTGCCTCCTCACACGCAGAAAGGGAGCACAAATAAACCATACCTTTGGCCCTCGAACAGAAAGTCCAGGTTCTCCTTTAAGACCAGGCATCCCAGGTCCTCCTCGATCTCCCTGTCCATTTCAAATAACATTGGCAAGACTCTAGGTTACACAGGGAGCCACAGAAGTGCACAGTGAAATAGACTGCTTGGGCATAAAGAGCTCAAGCTATCCAGCTCTTTCTAAGACAAATTTGAGAAACTCAAATGAAGAGTTAATAAACCTGTCAGTAAGGATTTCTGTAGGAGACTGGGAAAATCCACTAAAATAACACCGACAATTAGACTCAACTATGCAGATGTAAGAATGCCTAGGAATTCCCTTAAAACTGAGAGTGTATTTTCTCCCAGACTTTCCCATTATAGATTTTAGTAGGTTCTCCTGTAAATGCAATGACATTGTAATGTGTGGTGAGGCCTCAGGGTTGAGAGAGAGAGCACAGAGAACATGCAAACTTGGTGTCAGGGGTGGGAAGTCTGGCCTTAGTCTGTTTATCAGTGAATTTCACTTGAGGATCTTCCCAAACTAAACTTCTAGCTTCCTAGAACCAGCATCACCCACATCAAAACATCTATGCATTTCCCCCCACTGTTAAAGAGTCCTGAGAATGCATACCTTTGGCCCAGCTGGTCCAGGAATTGATGTTCCAGGCATTCCGAAAGGGCCCATAATGCCTGGCTCTCCCTGAGAAAACCAGAATAGCTGTTACATTTCAAGCAGAGAAACCATACGCAGTAATTATAATAAGGAAAGAAAACAAATGTCTGCAAACTTTAGACTATTCAAACCCCTGTCTCTGTAAGTGTGAATATGAAAATGATTGGAACATCCTTTGTAAACCACTGCTGAAGTTGTTACCCTGTAAGTTCTCAGTGCCTTTAAATAAATGTGTTCAATTAATTCCTGAATAGTAGGAATTTTTTATGTCTTGTGTAGCTTTTTACTGGCTAATAAAGATGGAGCAACATGTGGTGCCTGTGTTTTATATTGTATGCCAAGAAGCTCAGAGAAAAATCTTGTATTCAATTATAGAAATAGTCTCCCTCATAAGTTTCACAGTACTCAGCTAATTTATATGCCTTTTCCCTTTATTGCTTTTATTGTCATGGCCCACATTGTATTAGTATTTCATTGTACAGATCCTTTTTCTGAATCAGACTTTATAATATATATATATATATATATATTATATAATATATATATATATAATGAATAGGAAAATTGAAACATCTATTTTTCTCTTTCTTCTTATTGACTTCCTGTCCCACTCCATCTATCACACTTTCTGCCTCCATTTTATCTAATACTAAGTCCCAAAGGTAATTCTGTGTCTCATCTGAATCTAGACCAGTGTTTCTCAAATGCCAACACACAGATCGAGTTTGGCAAATATTCAGTGCTCAGTTTCAAGCCCATAAAATCCAGATTCCATAGGTCTAAAGGATGGGGCCCAAGAATATTAATTTTTATATGCAGCTCTGGGGATTTCGACACAAGTGCTATTAACACAGTTGGGAAGATGCTGTTCTGAAACACTTGTCACTGCACATCACAAGGTGTTCAAAATGACCCACTGGGATAGAAAACGAAAACATCACAACTTTATATATTGTGGTGGCTTGTGGGTCTCAGTTAGAAGGCCTGGGCAGTCTAAGGGACCTCTAATAGTGGAACCAGGATGTATCCCTGGTGCACGAGAGGACGTTGGGAGCACATTCCGCATGGAGCACTACTCCCTTGGCCTAGAGGCAGGAGGGAGGGCCTAGTCCCTACTCCAAATGATTTGACAGATTTTGTTGACCTCTCCTGGACATGGGGGGATGGGATGGGAGGGGGAGTTTGGGGGGCCTGGTAGGGATGGAAAGGGAACTGGGACCGATATTAGAAGAAGAGGAAGAAGAAGAGGAGAAAGAAGAAAAAAAAAAAAAAAAAATATATATATATATATATATATATATATATATATATATATATATATATATCCCAAAAAACAACAACAACAGCAAAGTAAATAAAAAGAAAGAAAGAAAATGTACCCAAAGGGAGTGGCACTTTCAGCAGGTGTGGACTGGTTGGAGGAAGTGTGTTACAGTGGGGGCAGGCTTTGAAGTCTCCTTTGCTCAAGCTTCACTCAGGGTGACACTCAGTCCACTTTTGCCTTCTGATCAAGATTTATCCAGAACCACATCTGCCTGCACAGCTCCCATGCTCCCTGCCATGATGATAGTGGTCTGAACCCAGAACTGTAACACACCAACTAAATTAAACATTTTCTTTAAAAGACGTGTTGTGGTCATGGTGTCTCTTCATAGCAATAGAAACCCTAACTAAGACATACGCTAGTACCAGGAACTGGAGTATTGCTATGATAGCTTGGCTATGTTTTTGCTTGGAGGAATTTGGACTTTAGTACTTTGGGATATGAAAGCACTGAGATGCTTTAAGCATGCTTAGGGGGCCATACTAGTAGGAACCTGGAAGACAGAAGTGCTAAGAATTATTTGAATTGTCTGGGACTCACTCAAAGGGTTTCAGAGGAGAAGAATTAGAGATGTTTCCTTGAGGTACTTCTTGTGGTATTTTGGTGAAGAAAGTGGCTGTTTTTGCCCTTGTCTAAAGACGCTGCTAAAGTGAAGAGTTTTGGATTAATTCCATTGGCAGAAGAAATCTCAAAACAGCCAAATATATACTCTGTTGTGTATTAGTGGTAACTTCAATGAAGATTTATAATGAAAAGGAGCAAGCTGAGCAGGCTAAGTTACAAAATGTAAAATTTAAGGAGAAAAAAAGAGTACCAGGAAGTGGAATTTAGCTACGTTCTGTGTTCAAGGAGATGAAGCGATTAAGAAATGGAATAAAGAGAGTGATGACCTCAGGGCAAGATCCCACTCACTTAAGTTTCCAACTTGTGAAATGGAATTAAAGAAAAGTTTGGAGACAGGTGTGGCATTGCACACCTTTAATCTCAGCACTGGGAAAGCAGAGACTGGTAGATCTCTGAGTTTGAGGCCAGCCTGGTCTACAAAACAAGTTTCAAGACAGCCAAGCTTAGGCAGTGAAGGACAGAAAGCTGATGAATATGTAATTGAGGGGGCCATGTTCCAGCCCCAGAAGAACTTGGCAGCTTCAGCCACACGGTTCTGGCTTTAGAGTTAAGGATAGAACAATTGTGTCAGGAATGTTCCTGGATGGAGGCCTAGAGAAGTCATTGTGTAAAGCTGTGAAGTTGAAGCCTTGTGACCCCAAGATGTTGGAGATGCCAGAGCCATGGGATACATGCTGAGGAAAGCTGCTAACAGAGAGCAGATCCAGCCCAAGAGAAAGAAGTGTGTTACAATCAACACAGCTGAAAGGAATGACGATCTGAAGAGCGTTTGACACCAGACATGGAGAGGTAAAGTTTGGAGTTTGCCCAGCTGGTTTTTTGGCCTTGCTTTGGTCCAGTATTTCCTCACTATGCTCTCTTCTCTTCATTTTGGAATGGTAATATGCTATTATATGTCGGAAGTATGTGATCTACTTTTTAATTTTGATTTTATAGGGGGATTACATGAATCTCAGAAAAGACTTTGAACTTCAGACTTTTAAACATTATTGAGATTGATAGACTATGGGGGCATTTGAAGTCGGACTATATCCACTTTTGCATTATGACATAGCTACAAGTCTTTGGGGGCCAGGGAGTAGAATGTGGTGGTTTAAAAGAAAATGGTCCCTAAAGGGAATGGCACTATTAGGAGGTGTGGCCTTGTTGGAGGAAGTGTGTCACTATGGGGATGGGCCTTGAGATTTCTTTTGCTAAAGTTTTGCCAGTGTGACACTCAGTCCATGTCCTGTTGCCTTCTGATCAAGTGTAGCCAGCCCATGTCTTCCTGCATGTCACTACACTCCCCACCATGATAATAATGGATTGAACCTCTGAACTGTAAGCCACCACATCAATTAAGTGTTTTCCATTATAAGAGTTGTCATTTAGTTAAGAAGCCCTAAGACATGTACTTTTATTTTCATACATAAAATTATAATATTTCATACGTTTTATATCAAGTTCCAAACATATATTAGCAAAATGTTTTATACATTTAAAATTGTAACTAAAGAAAATGAACAAATTTATTTGGAATGTGATCAAAATTTTACTGGCATGTGCCTATAATCAGAGATGTTTGGAAACTACTGTTCAGAGGAAGGACAGGGAAACTACAACCAGTGGGTCAAAGCCAACTTGTCCCAGGTTTTGAACAGCCTTGGGCTAACACTAGTGTCCATATTTTCAAGCAGTTGCAATACAAGGCCTACATAACAGGTTCAATTTTGCTTCTTGGCAGACAAAGCTGAACTACATTCTACTTGGCCCTTTAAAAGAAAAGAGAAAGATAGAGGCCTGCTTCAGACATAGAACTATTTCTATGTTATGCCTCAGTCCACTTCTAGGATCTTAGTTCAATAACTAATTCCTCCTTTGCCTGATGTGTGTGTCCTTAAACTCAATAGCATGAACTGTGCATTGGCCTATCCCAATTCTTCCAGGAGGAACACCATCAAAGCATTCACTGATGAGGAACCATGTTCCTCTTCCCCAGCTGAGGCCTCTGCTGTGTAGATTCTCCACAGTACAGCCTTCTAACTGAGCACACAGGCTGCTGGGACCTGCTTCATGCCATGTGTTCATCCTTAAATCGAAACCTGTGGGTGATGGCATGTGACACACGTGTCATGATCTGGCAACACATAAACCCACATCCCACCCTCTGACAAAGGAACAAAACATGCATAGTTAAAACTTTTCACTAAAGGCAAATGAATGGCTCAGCAGGTAGAGGCACTGAGATCAACCCCTGCAATCCACATGGTGAAGGAAAAAACTGATTCCAACAAGTTATCCTCTGATTCACGTTCGTGCGTGCGTGCGTGCACGCGCACACACACATACACACACACATACCATGGCATATGCACACGCACAAATAAACAAATTTTCACTAAAATCAGGGTTAAGACAAAAATGTTTCTAGGTTTGTTACTTTTAAAATATGAAAAGTATATAACTCTATTGTATATAAAGATAGTAAGGTATGATTATTATTTAAAATATGGCAATTTTAATCTTTAAAAAAATCCTCTCTTAAAATGTCAGATTTACTTTGATACAACATAAAAAGTAATGCCTTATTGCTATTACTAATAAAATACATTTCTTTCACAGTGACAATTCTTTATGTTTCTTGAACTACTTGTGACCCTTGAAGAAACATGGATACCTGGGTCCACTCCCAAAATTTACTAAATCCAGATCTTGGAGACTCAGGGGGCAATACCAAGAAACTTTGGTTTCTAACAATTTCTGCCACAGCACCAAGAGGCACTAATCTGTAACCCTTTAATACAGTTCCTCATGTTGTAGTGACTCCCAACCATAAAAGTATTTCATTACTACTTTGTAACTGTAATTTTGTTGCTGTTAAAAATGGTAATATGAATATCTGATATGCAGGATATATAACACGAAACTCCAAAGAGGTCGTGACCCACAGGTTGAGAAACACAGCCCTAAGATCTATGACAAATCATGGTTCTACAGGCAAAGCTGTATTGTAGCACTTTTATTTTGGCAACACCAGTTTTTAAAACTTGCTTTTCTAGGGCTAAAGAGATGGACCTGTAATTAAGAGCACTTGTAGCTCTTGCAGGGGACTTGAATCCTATTTCTAGCATTTACATGGTGAACCACAATTATCCCTAACTCCAATTCCCAGGAATCAGATGTTCTTGCCTAACCTCCAAGGGCACTAGTCATGTACATGGCACACATTCATAAATGCAGGCAAAAGGCACACACCTAAAATAAAATTAACAAATCTCATACAAAAGCTTTAAAAGAGACTTGCTTTCTCATCACCTATTCATTAAACATTCTTACCTCTTTTTTGATAACCTGTGAGGTAGTTTGAATGTGATTGGCCCCTATAAGCTCATAGGGAGTGGCACTGTTAGAGATGTGGCTTTGTTGGAGGGAGTGTCATTGTGGGGGTGAGCTTTGAGGTCTCATATATGCTCAAGCCATGCCCAGTGTCTCAGACCACTTCCTGTGGTCTCAGCTCCTGCTCCAGCACATGTCTGCCTGTGCACCACCGCGTTGCACCACGATGATAATGGACTAAACCTCTGAAACTTTAAGCCACCTCAACTAAATGTTTTACTTTATAGGAGTCACTATGGTCATTGTGTCTCTTCAGAGAAATAGAAACCCTGAACCCTAACTAAGACAGCTTGTGCCTTCCTGGAGACAAAAACTCTCAAGATTGCTGACATCAACTACAGCAAGCTCTCACTAAATCAGGGTACTTATTACTGCTTGCCTCACATTCCACTTCCCCCATAGCACCCTTATTTTCCATTTTACAGTATTGATTTTTTTTCTCTCTGAATAACTCCTGTGTCAAGCATTTATTGAGTGCCAAAGATTGTACTGAGTTTTGCTCTGTGAAATGGATCACATTCTCAAGCTCTGTAAGTGATTGGCTCAGGTGGGTCAAAGCAGAGCAGGGTGGGACCCGCCTTCCCAAGCCACTCTTCAATATCATGGAGGCTATCTGTCAATCAATGGTGGACTCATTGTTGTTTAACAATAGATGGTGGAGAGCAGGATGTGATATGGCTCTATCTTTTCATAATTACTAGAAATGATTGGCAGTCAGATTGTTCCCTGTAGCACAAATGAATATATACTTTATTCGATTATATTATGGTCTGGAAAGAGAAAGTTTTCCAAACACATTTTCCCTTGGGCATTTTTGTCATGTATTTGTTGGGAAGGAAACAAGAAATCAAATTTGAAGTGGAAGTTTAATATTCTATTAAAACCAGACACAATTACCATCTCTTCCGTGCACAGACGAGAATATAAGAAACATACCTTTGGCCCCTCGGGTCCTGGAAAGCCCCTCTGTCCTTGATTTCCTTTACTCCCTTTCTTTCCTTCATCACCCTGACAGAGTAATTACAAAGACATAGAGGTTGTATTAACAAATGCCCTTGCAGCCACATCAGAGACAGTCTCTCAGCAAACACAAACCTTCAAGTGAGTTTACCTGGGCACAGCCTGGCCACTCAAGGTTTGTCAAAGTGCTTCAGAAACCTGCCCAGCCTTTGTCACTTACTCAAAATGATTTGCTAGTTTTAAGTTTGGAACGGCAGAGAACTTTTGCTTGAGTCTTCTGTACCGTGAGTCTGTGCACAGATGGTTCTGATACATTCAATATTTCAAAAAAAGAGATGTTTTTTAGCCCGAGTCTCAATTTTCATGCTATTTCAGTTTAAAAAACATTAAAAGAGACATTTTTCAAATCAGGGCACCATTTCTTCCTCAGTGGGGAGTCTAGTTGATTCTACATAAGAAGGCCAATAATTGTGTTGGTAAGGCGATATTCAAGCAGTAACTTGGGGCAGAGCCGGAAACTGCCTCCCGTGGCTCCTCAGCATGGCTGTACTCAGCAATGTTCCCACAACCATGAAGAATTCTACCACCTTCCACCAAAGCAAAGCTCTCAGAACTATATCGCTCTCTTTCAAGGAGGCACTGCTGCAGAGCATTATATACAGATTTGGGTTCAGGTCAATGAAAGATTCTCTCCTCAGGTTTGCAGCTGAGGTCACTGGCATATTTTTGGTATGCCCCGTGGAACATTTTTGGTAAACCTGGTGGAGTTGCAGTTTTCATCTGGAGGGCTTGGGAGAGCACAAATTTCTAGAGCCAATGTTTCTGATTTAGTCAGTCTCCACTAGAGCCCAATAATTTGCATGTCAAATATTCCACGGTGATGCAGACCCAGCTGATTTAGGGACTATAACAACACATCAACAAAAAGATGCTCTATGGAAAAATTGAATCCATAGGATGATAGGTTCAAGTGGTTGCGACTATATAGATATATTTAAATTTCAGTTTCTCACATTAAGACTGAGGGTTTGACTTTAGTTAATACGTTCACAAGTCTGATTTGTTGGGAATCAGTATTTTAATAGAATAATAAATAAAATACTAATATGTACACAGTGTGATTGCCAACTCTGCATGAAAACTACAGGAATTCTGGCCCCTTAGAAATGGTATGTTATGCCGCTAGAGGCCTAATCCTATGGATGATTTTATATCTTCTCATCTTTACATACAACAATGTTGGGCAGTGGTGGTGCATGCCTTTAGTCCCAGCACTTGGGAGGCAGCCAAATCTCAGAGTTCCAAACCAGCCTGGTCTGTAGATCAAGTTCAAGGACAGCCTACAGAGACAAACCCTGTCTCAAAAACAAAACAAACACATGTGATTCAAGTAGCATTTTTAGAGGGAGTAAATTGCCACTCTGTTTCTTGCTTGTGTTAGACTAAGGATCGAACCCATGGCCTTGCGTATACTAAGCACATTCTCTCACCAAGCTCAAAACCCCCATGCCCTAAATTGCCATTTAATGAGGTGATTATGTCCTTTACTATTAAGTAAAAGCCTATAAGTATTTGAATAAGCTTTAGACACTTTCATATTCTAACAATGAATCTTGAGAATCCTTTCCCTTCCCATGGTTTCTTTAAACATCAGTTGACCATTTATTGAGAAAACATGTGTTAAATGCTTTTCAGCACTAGGTCTTAGGATGGAAAACAAAGGCAGATAATATACACTTGCAAGATGTAAACATGCCTGACATAGCAAGAATGACAGTCAGATCGCTCCTAAATTGGCTCTTTGGACTGGGGACCAGCAAAACTGTCATCTGCTTACCTTGGGGCCAGGCTGTCCTTTCCCGGGCATTCCTTCTGGGCCTCTTGTTCCTGGAAGGCCAGCTTCTCCCTGAAGGAAAGGACACAAATGTCTCAGCTGGTTCTTGGAGGACAGAATGCAGAATTAAAATGAAAGCTTATCAATGTATAAATTAACATTAAATTCCCCTTTAACCAGAGCAGCTGAAATACCACAAGGTATTTCATATCTCTTAATTTCCAAAGCCCTAAGCTCACTTTCCTAGGCGCTTCATTCACATTGAGTAGAGGTTTTTGCTTTTTGTTTGTTTGTTTTGTTTTCAACAAACCCTGCTATCTGCTATTTTTCAGTAGTTTCATTGAAATCGGAGCACTTTAAATGTCAACAGAAAATAGTTCAGAGCATCTTTACAACAACAGCTTAACTTACTAGATGCATTTACAGATTCTCTTTTGGAGGAAGAGGGGTGTTTTTGTTTGAGATTCAATTGATGTGATTTCTAGAACTCTCAGAGAAATCTCCAAGTGCCAAGGCCAAAACAACAACCAAGGCAAAGAACATGTACAGCCCCAAGGCAGCCCTGGAACTGGGGTCTTTCCAGGGTCAATGGAAAGAACGTTCATTCTCAGGTACTGTCTGCCCTGCTAGTTTAACCCCAGGTCCTGGGGAACCATGATGCTCCTTTAGCTCCACCGTTTTGACCCTAATAATATAACACCAATAAAATTACCTTCTTTCCAGAGGCCCCATCTTCCCCTGGGACTCCAGGCTGTCCCGGGAGTCCCACTGCACCTGGCTCCCCCTGGTGGATAAACATAGTTTATTTCAGTGAAATGTCTTTACCATGAACCTCCACTTTGAGGTATTAATTGGAAATATTGTCTTTATAGATATAATCAAGTTAAGATAAGGTTATTAAGGTGAATCCTAATTCAGTATGACTGAAGTCATGATAAAAAAGAGGATAAAGCCCTGTGAAAACAAACGGAAAACACTGAGTCAATAGAGGCAAACACAGAAGAGATGCAGCCACAAGCCAAGGAGTGTAGGGGATTCACAACCTAGTAAAAGCTGAAAAGAGGCCAGGAAGGATTATTCCCTGTAGGGTTTGTTGAAAGCATGGCTGTAGAGTTCTTGATTTCAGACATATAACCTCTAGAATTATGAGATTTCTGGTTTTCCAAGGCACTTGGTTTATAGCGTTGTAACACCAGCTCCATGAGATTATTACAAAGGGGAGCTGGGAAGTGTGGCCCCAACACTCCTCCAGCCCTATGTAGTAATCCCATTTGCTTTGCAGGTGATTCATGATTAGCAGTCTCCTTTAAACCATTCATTACAACACACATACAGCTTCCAAACACTACAGAAGTGGTCTTACTGTAAATAAATAAAAAGTGTTGAACTATTTTAAAGTCAACTAACCTGAGAAAGCTAGTAAGCAGTGGGGAGGGGAGGAGGGCTTTAAAAATCACAGTAACCTTAAAATTGACTAGAAGTATAAAAATGAGAAACAGAAAGAACTCAAAAAAAATTAATTCTAAAACTAAAGATAAATCGGCAGCGGGGGTGATTAGTATGTTAAATGATGCCATAAGTAATATTAAAAGGAAAGTTGATATGAGCATGTTCAAGGACAGAGTTTTAAAGAACATTTAAAAGTTCAGTGAAAACTGTGAACAAGTGGTTAAGAGAGGAGTCATTGCTCTTGCAGAGAACCTGGGTTAGGTTCGCAATACCCACACAGTGGTTTACATTGGTCTAAACTCTAATGCCAGGAGATCTGCCATCTCTCCTGAACTCAGCAGGTTCCTGTGTGCATGTGGTGTACATGCACACACCCACCACACACACACACACACACACCACACACACACACACACACACCACACACACACACACACCACACACACACCACACACACACACACACTCATACCCACACCACACACACACACACACACCACACACACCACACACACACACACTCATACCCACACCACACACACACCCACACCCAACACACACACTACCACACACACACATACTCACACACACACACACACACCACACACACTGACACTCACCCCCACCACACACCACACACACACACACATGAATTAAAAACCTTTTTTTAGAAAAAGAAAAGAAGAACATTAACAAGTGCATAATCTTCAAGAATTTTATTAAAAGGTCAAGCTTAGTGCGGCTGTGAATGCTGGTAGCAACAGATCTAGCAAGTTAAAGCCTCCGAACCAATGGTTCTCAACATGTGGGTTGCAACCCCCACGGAGGCAGGGTTACATATCAGATATTCTGTAAATTAGATGTTTACATTGTGACTCATAACAATAGTGAAATTACAGTTATGAGAGAGCAGTGAAAATTTGTAGTTGGGGGTGATTACAACATGAGGAACTGTATTAAAGGGTCATAGCATTAAGAAGGTTGAGAACCACTGCTTTGGATTTTCACATCCTAAAACAGCAAAGCTCTTGTTGGCTTTCCTGCCAAGCCTCAATAAACTTTGAAGTCTTTGAAGAACAGGGTCTCTACAAAATCTTACAGAATATTTCAAAACAAAATAAAAACAGAAAAAGAGGCAAAACTACCCATTTTTATTTAAGCTAGCCAGTTCATTCCTAGACATTTACTCAAGAAAAGGGAAACTAGATGTTCAAAGACACCGCAATAGATGTTTCTAATTTGTAACATCAAAAGCTTGGCAACAGCCAAGATCTCTGCCATCAGGAAAATGGATAAGTATATTGTGGTACCCCTGTACAATGGGGGGCTTTTCAGCAACAGAAACAATTATTCACACACCCTGCAAAGTGCATTTTGAATCAATTCTTCTGCATGAGCAGAAGTAATATCTACCTCAGAGGCAATCAGTGATGGTGAAAGTCATTGGAAACATATCAGTATGTAGAAGTTAGAGGAAGCAGAAGGACAGTTTTGCACAGGACGCAAATGAATAAAGGATGCTTCTATCATTTGGTTGTTAGAGCATTCATATGCCAAAATCTGTCAAAGTGTATATACTAAATATAATTATTTGTTATATATTAAAAACACTATGATCATTTTTAAAGGCCACAATGTCCTCAACAAAAGACTAATCAACTGAAGTATCCTTAAAAAGTAAATACCATGGATAGTTGTGTTTATCTTTAAAAAGAATACAAGAATGATTCAACATCTAAGATCTCTATTAATGTATCAGATTAACAGGGTAACAAATATTTTACTAGGAACAGAACTTTAGTAAAATTCATTACTTATTTATAATAAATAAGGAAAAATGGTAAAAATTGAGAGAGAACAGAATTTCTTTGACCCAAAAGAATTCTTCAAAAATTTACAGCAAGCATCATATAATTTTGCTGGCAATATGATTTTGTGTAAAAGAGTATAAAGCACTTAAATTGGAAATAATAAGTGATTTCACAGGGTGACTATGGGTAAAACTCAACATTCCAAAATGAAAATAAAACAAGTGCTTCTCCAATAGGCTCATAGTAGCTAATCAGAACTGTTGGAAAGAGAACAATTCATATTGACATAATTTCTTTGGGGAGCCCAAGAATGACCTTAGCAAAAGTATGAGATAGAAGATCTTTATAGAAAAAGAAATGAAAATATTTTCCTGAAAAGTGAGAAAGCCTTACTCTGTAGTTGGAAGAACTCAATAGCTGATCTGTAGATTTGATAAGACATTTTATTAAATTTGACAATTCTAAAATGTGTTAGAATCAACAATAAGCAAGAGAGATAATAAGAATATTTTTCTTGTCACATGATGGGACTTTCCTTTTCCTTTTGAGAAAGGTTCTCATGTATCCCAGGTTGGCATGTATGTGTGTATGTATGTATGTATATATAATTTATTTTACATGTTGATCCCAGTTCCCTCTCCCTCCCTCCCTCTCTTCCACCCTCCTATGATCCCCCAACCACCCTCATTTCCCATTCCCCCCAATCCACATGTAGGGTGATGCCTTCCAGGAGGGGTCATCTAAATCTGTCAAGTCATTTGGAGTAGGGACGAGGCCCTCCCTCCTGCCTCTAGGTTAAGGGAATATTCTTCAATGGGTCCTTTTTGCACCAGGGATACATCCTGGTTCCACTGTCAGATGGCCTCTACCTTTCTATACAGCCCCAGGAAAGACTTTGATCCCCTTGCTTCTACCTCTTGAGTGCTGGCATTGCAGCATGCACTACCACACAGATTTATACAGTACTGGGAACTGAATCCAGAGCTTTGCACATGTGTTAATCACACAGGGAGAGAATAAAACCACTACCATAACTTCGAGACAAATAGGAAGCCAGTTTTAATTAAATACTGGCCAGGATGGTGAACTCTACCCAGATCCATTCCTGGGTTCCCAGAAAACAGCAGACAGTCACATTTTGCAGAGACTTAAAAAAAGGCAACCCCGTAAGGCTACTATATTTCTCATCAGGTCCAATCAGGGGCAAGCATTTATCCTGACATATTTCCTGCCCACCTACCACCCCTCTCCCACCTACATGTGATCAGGTGCATCAGGTATAATAGAGTGGAGTGAAAACATACGACTCATTATCTCTCATGAACAACAGTCTCCAGCATTTTAGGAGATATCTGTCCTTGGGCAGGTGGCTTGCTGGTTAAAGGCACTTTTGTTTCATGGATCTCTTAGGGACAGTAATTAAAACTTAAAACATAACTTTGGTTCTCACACATGCTAGGCAAGCACTCTACCAACTGAGCTATATTCCGGGTGACATGATATATTTTACATCTAGAAGAATCAAGATAGGAAGGCAATAGTGCAGAGAAATATGAATAGATGCTAGGACAGAATAGAGGCCGATTCCTAAGGACATACACATGTAAGCTGACACAAGGCATGGGTGGCATTGCAAACCAGCATGGCAAAATGGTGTTCTCAAGAACTAAAAGAGATATATTAACAATGGGGGGGGGGACTAGAGTCTTCACACAGATGCCCCACACAAGCTAAAGTCCATGTGGATACAAAGGCAACCTTAAAAAGCAAAGCATACAATTTTCAGAAAACACAAGACTATTTTCATGACCTTAAGAGGTTTTAAAAGAATTTTTTAAAAGTCTAAGACGTAAAATGGGAGAAACACATCCAAAATGTCAACTTATACACTAGAAGGATAAAGACCAGTTACAATCTAGGAGAAGATACTAGTAACCCAGCCAACAAAAACTTTAACATCCAGATGTATAAAGGACTCTAACAATAACCTAGCATAAAGTCCCGAGTATCGTTAGGAATCTACAAAGAGACAACATAAAGGTCCACAGAGTGCATGAAGAAGCTGTTTCTTTAGTCCCCAGAGCATAAAAACTAAAATGATGGAGTGTATCTTTGTATGTTTCCCATTTTCCAGTTAAGACAAGGATATACTGTGAGCACGAAGTTAAAGAAATGACAGCCCACGTGAGACAGGACCCCTGCAGCACCCAATCAGAAGACAGTGCCACCTCTGCTTTCCACATGTCAGGGAAACTTGTAGTCCGGTATGTGCAGAAGGAAGCATGACATGTTTATGGCACGAGCACTGACAAATGGGAAACTTGTAATCTGGTATGTGCAGAAGGAAGCATGACATGTTTATGGCATGGGCTCTGGCAAATGTAAGACAAGAGAAGAATGACCTTAAATACCACAAACAAGAGAGGGAGGAAACATGAAATGAGATACTCTCATACCGTGAAGCATTTTATTTTTAAATGAGAGAGACTTAAGGTTAACTGGAAAAACTGGAATTTAAATCCAGATAGTCTAACTGATAGCCCTTAACATACTATGGACTGTCTTTCTAAATCAACGTGTAAATTGTTCTTTACATGAGTATACTTATACACTGTATGTCTATATGTGTACATACACATATACATCATATTTATCACTTATCATAGTACATATTATATCAAAGCCATGCAAGAATGACAGTTTTACTGCTTTATTAATATGCTATTATATATATATATACATATATATATGTATATATATATATATATATATATGTTTTTGTTACGCTTACATCTGATGTTTTCTTCTAGTACCCAATTGTTTATAACAATCTTGACAGTGATAACCAAAATATGGTGACAACTCAGTGTGGCTCACTAGGAACTACATAACTTCATGATAAGTAACAAGGTTGTACCAAGTAGTAATTCATCCATTCAGCAGTATTTGAAAGCCTACCATGTTGTGAAAATTGGCATCTAATAACAAGATGAACAAGGTCCCTTGCTCAAAGGGAAGTATGAGTTTTATAACAACCCTGTCCAATAGAAACACCAAAAAAACTAAGAAATACTAATTATACTTTTCCACTTAACCAAATTTCAAGTTAAGAGAAACAAGCTAAACACACACACACACATATATATACATATACATATATATGCACACCCACATATATTTACATGGCATATGCATATTTATTCTTGCATTTGGATGTGAAGGAAACCTTACATTGTGTCATGTAAATTGACTAGTGGCATCTGAGAAACAGTCACTCAACTCACCTTTGGACCCTGTACCCCAATTCCCATTGGTCCTCTAGGGCCTGTAGGTCCCATCTGGCCTACTTCTCCCTGGGAAAGAAAGAATATTGGATAGGGTTGTTAATATTAAAGCACAGTAAAAGTAATACATTTCTACCTTTGAGCTCCTCAGACCTTTTGTATATCAACAAAGTGAGATTTTATGTGCCTAATTCACACCACACCACACACACACACACACACACACACACACACACACACACTCACTCACATACACAGTGGTAGTTATACATGAAGTCCCTTTAGTTACACGGATTTTTAATGCAATTTTGACTATAGGCAGTATACACCTGTATATTGTATACACCTGTAGAGGCACCTTGAAAACATAAACAGTTACATTACAAAATGGTTAAATAGAAAGCACAGGTGATCTCTGACTAAGAGCAATAACAAAACCAGAGAACAACCAAGCTCTCAATGATGAGCCCCAAATACAACAAGGCCCACACGAGGACACATCTATAATCTCAGTGCTGAGGCAGAGGCAGAAGAACCTAAATTAGAGACTTATCTGGTCTATACAAAAAGGTCCTGTCTTCCCCACACCCCAAAAGACAAATAAATAAGCAAATATACAAACAAATAAATCAGTAATCTGAAGGGCAGAAATGATGTTTTTCTTCTGGTATGCGGGCTCCAAAGTGAGCAAGTGCTTATGAGAAGTATAATTTATTTATTCATAACAATGAATAGTGATCCTTGAAGCAGTGTGGAAACTAATTATAATAACTCCCTTTCCTCATGTGATGCTTAAGAGTTCCAAATTAAGAGATAACCTGATTACAAAATTCAAGAAAAACTTTTACTATTTAGGTCATTTCTGTCTCCATCTTTTTAGGTGCTGGAAGTTGAAGCCACTGTGGGAATGCTGTGAGAATGCAAGCTCACCAGCCCAGAGTGGGTTGCCTCTACTGATGTGCACTTGCTAGAACAGGGTCTCAATAAATAAAAATAAAAACAAGACAAAAAATAAAAGTTATGCATTATACCTTCCAAGCCATTTATAATATCAATATCACTTGGCATAGAATGTTCTGAATTTAAAGTTAATTCCACCTGTTCTCTTCCAAAGATACAAAACATCAATCACAAACAATAATTATACTATAAATGTATTAAATTTTTCTGTCATCCAGAAAGTTACCTTGGAACCAGGTGATCCTTGTCCTGGGGGTCCTTGTGGACCAGGTGGACCAATTGGACCTTGAATTCCCTTTAGAAAAAAGTTTTAAATGTCACCAGTGAAATTCAGATGTTTGGACGACAGTCTTTTGTCTTCTAAAGTGCAAGTACAGCTCCTCATTACAAATTGCTGATGTCACACCAACTACTGTACTGACTAGACCACTAAAATCATCCAATCAAACCCCATTCTTTAACCCCCAATGCATATCCTTTCCCTCTATGATAGTAAAAGAAATCTCAGTTGGCCCATGTGAATACCTGGAATAAATCGAATGCTTCCACTGAATACCTTTAATCCCAGCACACACATGGGAGACAACAAGAAGACAATCTATGATTTTGAGGTCAGCCAGATCTGTATAGTGAGTTCCAGACCAACCAATGCTAGATAGCAAGATCTTGTCTCAGAAAACAAAAACAAAAACTCATGATTCCTCATCCCTAGAAGTCAGGTGTACATGCATCATTCTATCTACATCCTATCCACATTGTATCCACAGCCAAAATATAGAGTGACATATGTAAGTTCTCATTTATTCTAAAGCAGTGGTTCTCAACCTTCCTAATGTTGTGACTCTTTAATACAGTTCTTCATGTTGTGGTGACCCATCCCTAAAATTATTTTATTGCTTCTTCATAACTATAATTTTGCTACTATTATGAATCATAATGTAAATATTTGTGTTTTACTATGGTCTAAGACAACCCTTGTAAAGGATCATTCAACCCCCAAAGGAGTCACCACCTACGTGCTGAGAAACACTGTTGGATCTCTTCTTATTCCTGTGGTCAAGCCATGTGGTAATCTTGTACCATGTGGATGAAGAAAGCTCCCAGGGAGACAGACTAACAAAAGTGAAAACACCTGGCCCCTTGACAACATTGATGAACAAATCCTCTGCTCCAGCTTGCAATTTTCAGTCTAAAAATGGAAATTCCATAATGCTAAACCAATTCACACCTCTTGTCACATGCACAGAAATGTATTTCCTAGTTGGATGCAGTGACATGTTAAAGATATGATGTGTACTCTGAAAAGCAAGCTGACAGACATCAAAGTGAAACATGTTCAAATACATGACTCCTTGCTACACTGTAGGTAAAATTAGGTAGAGGAACACAGGGCTTACAAACTTCCTTTCTGGAGAAAGTTATCTAGATTACAAGGATTTTTCTTTGCATAAAATGAGAAGGGGCTTGGTTGAGACCTTCTTTACTCTGATCTAGAAGGAGGACTTCAATGAAGCCAATTATATGTTGCTTTTGGTTTGGGGGACACAGGGAACTGTTTTCTGACTATTGCCTGAGTTATCTAAAATGGCTTGAAGTCGCCCAAAGGGGCCAGACTAGGATCATCTTATGTACACAGAGTTTGTCAGAGTAGAGGCATGTGAGATTTTCCTATTGATGAAATGCATGCCAAGTAGGGGCCAAGAGTGCCCTGGCATTATTTGAACCTTGTCCAAGAGACCGAGATGGGCAGCAGGAGGAATGAAGTCCTACAAAGACAGAGGCTAAGAAGAGATGCAACTGGAGGAAGATTTCCTCCCACATCCTAGAAGGACTGACCACTGTGGGACTGAAAGGGTCCCACAGGTGAGAGGTGAGATCACATGTCTCCCAAACCCTAACCCCCAAAGCCATGTATCACAGAACCAATAAAGAAAGGACGTTCATGTACTTCTGCCCAGTCTCTCTCTACCTCAGCCCAGGAGAAATCAGAACCCCTCGTCCCCTCCAGCGTGTACCAGATAACAAAGATTAAGAGAAAGTTAATAGTAACCAGAGAAGTCTTTGATTTGTCCAAAATGCAGCAGCACTACAACTTCAGTTGTCTAAAAGAGATCCAAAGTCTGTGCTAGGCTGGAAATTTCATTCAGTGGCAGGAAAAAAAAAAAAAAAAAGATGTGGCTATCAAGATGAAAACATTAAAATTATGCTTGTTTGCATCCTATAAACTGTAACTGTAGAAATAATGTTTATAAGATACATTATTAATGTATACTTATATAATGCAAAAAAGTCATCTCTTTTGCTCCAGTTAGACAATACAGCTGCTTATTTATTTTTAAAATATGAACATTGTTTGGGGGGAGTTGGTTAAGAGAGCACTTGCTACTCTTTAAGTTCATCATACCCACATGACTGCTGACAATCCACTAACTATAACTCCGGTTCTGGGGAATGTGATGCCCTCTTCTGGCTTCCACAAGTAATAGGCATGCATATAGTGTACATACATACATACAGGCAAACACACATACATATAAAATAAAAATAAATACATTTTAAAATAAAATGCAGATATCATTCCTTTTTCTCTGGTTGATGAGACTGAGCAGTCTCCCAATTTAGGGGACTACTATGGTTCTAAGAAGGAACTTTCCTAACTTTATAGCTGCCCACAAGGAGTAAGTTACCACAGCATGTACATGGCACATATGTGCCTACATGTGTGTTTCTTACATTTTACTGTGAAACATCTGAGGTGATCGGATCTCTGAATATTTCATTGAAATCTGCAGACCACTTGAAAGACATTGTCTGCAGGTTGCTGGAAACAGATTTTCCTGATAAATAGATGAGTGGAGAAACATATTTCCATAAAGAACCAACACAGGAAGAAACACCAAGCACAAGAACATGCCAGATGAAAGTCAGGAACAGAACTGAATGCATAAGCAGAGATTAAGTTCAAGTATCGCTTATGCCGTTTCTCATAAAAGAGTAAATTAATTCTAAGCACAGAGAAGTTCATCCTACCCATTAAGGGTCAGCCCTGTAAAGACATTTTGCCTTTAAGTTTTTGTTTTCTTTTGTAACAAAGAAAGGGCATATAAAAACATAAAACCAAAAGTTTCTTTTTTTAAAATTTTAACTAAAAAAAATAGCAGTCTCCATTAAGAGCCAGAGTTAAAGGGAGCAGGAAGCCAGGAAGCCACAGGTGGGAGGCTAGAATCCACAGACCATCTGGACAGACTGTCTGTCTTTGAACCTCATTGTCAGTCCCAGATTAGTATCTCAGCCCCAGCAAACCACAAAGCCCAGGATGTGACAGTGCTGTCAGGATGCCAGGACCAGAGAGTAGCCCTGCAGGGGCCAGCAGACAAGCTACAGGTCCTGAGAGTCAACCCAGGATCGTCAGTAGCCTCATACCCCACTCTGATTATTACCTCAATGCTATTTACAGATTGATCTCGTTGTTCTCTGCACCCCAGTTCTCCTAACACATTAGACTAGGAACTCCACCAAGGGTGACAAAGTGGGAAAAGGAATAGTAGTCAACCTTACTATTGCTTGAGATAACAAATATGTAGTAATAACGGTAAACGAAATTCTTAAGAATAATCTCAACACTTCAGGCCAACAATGAAATTTGGAATTCCCTCACTTTCAACCCTCTTTCTTCCTTCATCACTTTAGGTCAAGGAAGCACCATGCATTCTCCAGGCAACATAATAATTCAAACCACAGCCATAAATTTTAATCAAATGAACTTGCCACTTTCTAATCAGGGCAATATGTCTATATTTGCTGTTGGCTTTGATTAAATGAGACTGCACGGCTAATAGCAGAGGGTGAATCATAGTAGATGGTACTAATGTCCAAGGTTCATACCATTTACATTTGACACAGTTTTCCAGCTTCCTTGAGTATCCAGAGATTTTAGAAGTAGCTCCATCTCTGAGCATGCAGACATCCTTCCTTTCTTCTGACCCCAGAGTCACCACCATGTCCCTTATAAACAAATCATGGTCTGCTTCTTTTGGAGAAGGATGCCTTTAAGTTAATTAGTGTGCCTTGATTCTGGTACTTACTTAGATACCAACGTAATACTTAGGTAGGTGAATGGTTAGGGGATGTGAAACACTCCTTCATTGGCTCAAGAGATGAGAGTACAGTCATTTTCAAAAGGAAAACATACACAAGCCAGCAGGTAAGAAAATACTTTTCTTCCAAGGGTGACTACAGATATAAACTAGTGTCATCAGAACAGTTACCTATTAATAAGGTCTTAATATAGGAAGTCATAGCTCCAAAAAACATATAATTTATTTTTTGAATCTCTGACCGTCCTAAAATTACAAACTCCTCATGATACTATTTTACCCTTTCCTGTATTCTTATTTTTCTTATTATTCTGAACTTACACTCCATGGAATTCATTTGCAAAATGAGCACAGAGATGCTTGTAGGCTTCGTCCTCCCTGAATACAAGGACCGGGGTGAAATGTCTGTGCCAAGAAAGAGGAAGCAAGAACCACTTACCTGCTCTCCTTGACTTCCGATGCCAGGAATGCCTGCTGGTCCCTGGGGTCCCACAGGTCCCAAATCCCCCTGTCAAAATATGAGTAGACAAAGCCTTATTCACCTATGATTTACTAATCTGGAATTGACCTAGATTAAAATCTATCTTTACACTTTTGACACATTCAATATGGAAAAATCAAAGCCTGCATTCCCTTTCAACAACTTATAGTCCAATGTACCAAAATAGTGATCTATTCACTCTTTCATCTAAATTAGTTATCTTTTATTTTTTATTTTAGTTTTTGAGATTGTAACATAATTACATCATTTACCCCTCCCTACTCTGCCTGGCAAAGCTCTCCCTCTATCCCTCCTTGCTTTCTTTCAAATTCATGAACTCTTTCTTTTATTAATTATATATATATATATATATATATATATATATACATATATATGTGTGTGTGTATGTGTATATACATATAAATATTCCTGAATACATAATAACAGCCTAGAATTTGTATCAATTTACATTTAGCAGCCATTTCTCTCACTACTCAAGCCATATAAAGTTATTATAAAAACACAAACATTTCCTTATGGAGCACAGCTAATGTATTCAAAAGTATAAAATTAATGAAGTGTGAGAAAAATGAGCCAGAGGAAAGTATTCTACTTTTTTCAAATAGCATGTCCAAAGTTAAGAAATGAAGGAAACAAAATGAAAGAACCCAAACTTCTCCAAGAAAACAAAGCAGAAGTTACCTATGAGGACAAGGTGTGGTGGCACACTTGCTTAATCCTAGCACTCTGGAAACTGAGGCAGGTAGATCTCAGTGAGTCAGACATAAGCCTAGTCTACCTAGAATGCCAGCAAAGACTACACAATGAGACCCTGTCTCAAAAAGTGGGTATGTGTGAGAGAGTACTCAGGTCCTAGGTTACTCATGAAGGAAAGCTAACAGAATTAGCTGCTGATTGGGGAAAATTCAGGATTTCTCCAGGGTTTGTGAAGGAAGAGAGTTACTACTTATTGAGAAAGAAACCAAAGGGGCAGGTTTGGAGGTGGGAGTGATCCTTGGAGTTCTGTTCCAGACTGGTTAAATTTTAGAAACCTAAAACTGTCGTCTAAGTGAAGGCACTAAGTGGGAGAGATCGGGACTAGGAATTTCAACGTGGAGGCCTTCAAAATGATGACAATAGTCGATGCCATGCCTGGGCGACTTTACCAAGAGACAGAGGAGGTCAGAGGCAAGTCCTTCTAGAACTCCAGTCTTTAAAGGTTAGAGAAATGGAACGGCAATGTGAACTAAGAAGAGCATCCAGAGAGACCAAGAAAAGAGATGGCTTCAAAGGAGACGGGGTCAGTAAGTGCTACAGTTAGGTCAAGTACACCTAGTGTCAACCCTGCCATTGAGCAGAATGGACAAATACTCATTTGTTTTAGTGGTAATTATATTTAGACTACATCAGGGAGAGCCAATGTTTTCTGGCGGGGTACTTGAGATTGGGCCTAAGGCCTGTTTCTTGTGAGGCAAGCTCTCTGTCATTGAGACAGACCCCCAGACTACTTTTTACCTTGCATTTTTATATAAGAGCTCTCCATATTGTTTTTGTTTACCTTGAACTTACTCTGTGGTCCAGTCTTGAATCTGTGATCCCCCTATCTAAGCCTCCAGAAGAGCTGGAATTATGGGCCTAATCCTCTAGGCCCAGTTACCAAATCTTTTCTTAAAAGGCTAGACAAGGAATCTTTTTGGCTTGACAAGCAGAATAAGATCTGCTTTGTAACTGAAGGTTGCTGTTTTAGTGGCACGTAAACAGCCATAGAGGAAAGGTAAATGATCAGGTGTGTCTGTGTGCCAGTGACATTTGATTCAAAAAGTCAGGCAGGCAACTTAGGCTAAATAGATATCATGAACAAAATTACATAATTGGATCATATTTTATATAAATTAAAGTATATTTAACTTGTGGCAAGACAGGCCCTAGAATAAAAATGTGTCGTATTTTGATTCAGCAATAGACTATCCTAACTCATAACTTAATCCCTTTCTTTCCCAGGAGCTCTGTACTCGGTGGAAGTCATGCCTTACTTGTCTAGATTAATTATCTTTAAAACTTTTTTCCATGTCTCCATTTCCCAAATGACTTTCAAGAATGACAAGATGACAGTAGTTAGTTTCAAGTCTGCTGACTCCAGAATCCAAACTCAAAACCAATGATCTGCAAGTAGTCAGTAAAGAAAGCAAAGCCCCACTTCATGAAGAGTTTACGCTTAAATGCCTATGCTGTCATCAGTGTTTGCTCTAGCACTACTCATAATAGCTGAGTCAAGAAACCAATTTAGATGTTTAACAACACAGAAATGGGTAAAGAAAATGTGGTGCACATACATAATTGAACTCTTTCAGCCATAAGGAATGAAGTTATGCCATTTGCAAAACAATATTTCTTGGTTGTGCACCCACCATTTAACAGCTGAGTCATCTCTCCAAATGGAAACAACTAGGCCAACAAGATGATTTAGTGGCCAAAGGTGCTCGCCACACAAGCCTGGCAATCTGAGTTGGATCCCTGGAACTGAGGTAAGGGCGGAAAGAGAAGAGCAACTCCACAAAGGCATCCTCTGATTTATTACAAGAAGTAACTACAAGAAGTAATTAATAAACAAATGAATGTTTTTAAATGGACACAACTGGAGAGAATGATGCAAAGAGAATTAAGATAGTCTTCAAAAGTCAAACATTCTATGTCTTCTCTTGTTCATATCCTAGATTTTATGTGTTACAGGAAATCTTGACTTGAAAGTAGAAGCACAACTACTTGTAGGAACTCCTGGACTGGAGAGAGGAGGATTATGGGAAGGGGACTATGCCCAGCATATAATATATAACTGAATGAAAATGTCTTTATGTTACACAGTACCATGTACACAATCATTTTATTAAAGAAAATAATTCAATAAATATCTGTGTCATCAGTACTTTGTTATTATATTTTAACCAATTATGTATGTTTGAGCTTTAAGTTAGGAGTACTACATTGTCACCTGAATCACACACTAAAGTTTCTGAATCTCATGTTTTACTTAAAATAATAGGAAAAGAAAAAAGACCAGTAAGGAGAAAGGGGACAGAGTTGGTTTTTTTTTTTTTTTTTTTTTTTTTTTTTTTTTTTATAGAACAACAAATAAAAGCTTTTCTATGTGATAGTGTTCAGGAATTTCAAAGTCTTCTTTACATGAATTCCAGATGTGAGCCTTAGGCCGGGCTCCCAAAGACTAGTTACAGAAAGGGAGGAGCGATAATATGAATAGAGGGGTCAAGACTACATAGGGGAAACCCTCAGAAAAAGCTGACCTGAGCTAGTGGGAGTTCACTGACTCTGGACTGACAGCAGGGGAACCTGCATAGGACCCAACTAGGCTCTCTGAATGTGGGTGACAGTTGTGTGGCTTGGGCAGTCTTTGGGGCCACTGGCATTGGCACCAGGATTATTCCTGGTGCTTGAACTGGCTTTTTGGAACCCATTCTCTTTGGGTTCCTAGTTATGGGGTGGGGGTCCTGCCTCAGAGAGATGTGCCAGACTTTGTTGGCTCCCCATAGGGAGCTTTATCCTCTCCAAGGAGTAGAGGGGGTGAGGTTGGGGGAGGTGGGGAGAGCAGGAGGAGGGGAGGAAGTAGGAACTGAGATTGATATGTAAAATGAGAAAAGATTGTTTTAAAATAAAATATAATTTCCTGGCCAAAAACAGCCCCCAGATGTGAAAGCACAGATGCCATGCGACAGCAAACTTGGAAGGTTAAGACACTGAGCTCACAACAACCGCATGTTCTTACAGCTCCAAAGGAAGAAAGAAGTATTTTACTGCTTGGAACTGAGCTATTTACACTTGGAACTGAGCTACTTGAACCAAGAATTATATTAGATCCAAAATTTGCATGACTCACTATCATTATTTTTGGTAATTAAATACAGTCAGAAGAGAATATATCCCTCATGACTGAAACCCAACACTTGAGATAATCTTATCAGTTGTTATCCTAGCTTAAATAATATGATACGCCTAGGACTTGAAAGATAAATAACTAATGATTGACATGAGGAATCTAGTTTTTCATATATCTTTCTTTACAACACTTTTATTTTGCCCTGCAAATTTATACATGAATGTTATATTTATGTCATCTATATCCCACCTTCTCTCCCTGAATTTCTCATGTACCCTCAACTCCCTCTAGAATTAATGACTTTTTAATTATGTATGGTTGTGTGCATGTATGTGTGTATGTGTGTGGTGTACACACACATACACACACACACACACACACACACACACACATATGGTATATGTTTTATCTCTTCTCCCTCTGACAACTTTTACTCCCCATTGCTCTTTAGGGTCTGATCAACTTCTAGTATCTTCTATCACCAACTTCAATTCCACTCCTAATCACCAAGTCCTTTAATGTAAACAAGTAACTAGGGAGGTGTAAAGCAGATTCTGCTAGCTAAAACCTGACAGTGTGGTTACAGGGTGGAATACAAGCTCATAAACCACAAACACCAAGCAATGTTATAGACCATAGAGAAGCAAGAGTATTCTATCATCATGTCTGAACAAAGGCAAATTAGTAATAATAATAATAATAATATGCTTAAGTCTCAAAAAAACGGCCAGATCCCATATATTATCTAAAACTGAATGCTTCTACTTTAAAAAAAAAAATTAACCATTCACCACTCATCCACCACTGTTTTCCTGAAACTTCTAGAGGAGACTCATTAAAATAATCTTAAGACCATCTCCACCCCCTGAGAGCATCCAATTCAATGCCAGAGTGTGCTTTTGTGAATGCTCCTCTAACCAGCCAAAACAAGCTCAGATTCTATGGAAATCTTTGTCTTGCATCCTTGTCCTGAGTTGGGACTGGCTTCCAACAGCATGGGTCTCCCTCACTGTAATGACTCAATAACCTTTGCCCAACATGAGGCAGACTCTGAAGGTCCCTGTGCTAAAGGACAGCAGAGCTAGTTTTCTTAAACAAGTTCCCTTACTCTAGCTCATTTTAAGGTAGTATTTTTGAGTGTCAGCCCAAGGATGTAAGGATAGAGACATAGATGCATAGATACATGTGATATATCATAGTCAACATATTTTTTTTAATTTTTAAGATTATAATATAATTGCATCATTTCACCTTCCCTTTCCTCCCTTCATCAATACACTTTCAACAGTTGTGATATTTGCCAAGAAATATCTTTTGCTAATAACCTGTTTCAAAGATGTGTTGCTAATCACAGAGTGCATTGCAAGTTAGAACTCAAATAAGTGAAGAATTATTTTAGATATAGATAATATGGATTTCCACATTACAGTTCATCCTGCATGGTAAAATGCTTCACACTTACTAGTTTATAATTACCTAGATACGTGTGTGGGATGGTTGTCTTATTATATGCAACTCAAACTGCACATGAATAAAGAGCAATGTCAAAAATAATTTTCCTTTATTCAGGCTTACATGATATAATTTGTATTCAATACCTTATCCCCTTTGATTGACAGGCCTTGCAATCCTTGTGGGCCAATTGGTCCTTCAGAACCCTTTTCACCCTAAAAGCAAATTGGAAAGGTATCAGTATACAAAGAAAAGTAAGACTATTTTTTATTTCATTTCACATTCAAGCCACAGTTCTCCCTTCCACTGTTCCTCCCACCCACCCCTGGCCTCCCTTCACTCCCTCACATCCCCCCCCAGCCCACCCTTTAGAATCTACATTATAGTTACTGAGGATTATACCTCAGATTAATTTTTTTAAGTCAAATATCCAAACTCACTGCTTGTACAAAATGAATAACTCTAACTTTGAGATTTTCAACTCAGAGGAAAAGAAAGGTTTGGTTTTAACATTTAAACAGGAATGGGTCTATCTAAGACAGGCACTGCTTAAACTGAAAAAGCTAAATTGCAAACCCATCAGAGAACCAATCAATCGTATAGTGTGACTAATGATAGAAAGCCTCTTTTCCTTATTAATGGTGAAAATGGATCCATTATAATAAGGAAAATTTGTCTCTCCTGTGAACTAATTCTTGTTGGAAGTGGATTACTGATTCAATGTTTGAATTTTTAAAAATCCACTGAAAATATAAGGTTATAAGGATTTATGGAAAGACTTGAATAAGATGATAGATAATAACATATTTTATCTGGCTTGCCCTGATATTAATGTTATATCTATAAAGTCTTAGTACCCTGTGCCTTTATAGGGTAAAGAGGCCACATGAATTAATCAGAAGTGACATCCAGCTAATGCATTTGTTAAAGCCAAGAGTAAAAACTAAGACTGTTTCCTAAGAAACAGGGATATATATCTATACTCCTCAGTACAGCCATGTGCATTGGTTAGCTTTAATTTTCAACCTAACACAATGTAGAGTCACCTCAGAAAAGTCTCAATTAAAGATTGCCTACATTGGTTTGCCATGTTGAAATGTCTATGGGGAGTTGCCTTAAAACACTTAATCAATATGAGAAGACAAAGCCCACTGTGGGTGGCACCAGTCCCTAAGGAAGGAGCCCTGAACTGTATGAGTGGAGAAATAGAACTGAGCATGCGTAGGTAAGCAAGTGACTATGTGTGAATCCATTCTCTCCTTGTTCTTGATTGTGGATGTGATGTGTGATGTGACTACCTCTCTCCTGCTCCTACTGTGATTACCTCTTGCTATAATTGATTCTAACCTGAAATTCTGAGCTATAATACGCTCCATCCTGTAAGCTGCTATTTCTCAAGATATGTTATCACAAATACAGAAATAAAACAAACACCATAATTTAACTACTTATTTCCTACACTTTTGCAATTTAGCTACCTTATCTAAACTCTGCCTGGTGGGAAATTTGAGTGTTCCAAGTTTTCCTCAGAATGCAATAATGTATACTCAATCCTAAAGCATCACTGAGGGTACTATGTCCTTTTATTGATAAATCAGGAGCGAATACAATGCCCTGGGTTGATGCGAGATGTCATTCTGTAAATATGTTTCTCGTATTGGTTAATGAATAAAGCACTGTTGGCCAATAGGAAAGCAAGACAATTGGGACTAGGAGACTAGGAGGAGAGAGAAGTAGTAAGGAGGAAATTCAAGATGGAGAACAGAGAGAGAAGAATGCCTCGCCCTCTCTCCAGTAAGATGAGACCACGTGGAAATACTTAGATTAATAGAAATGGGTTAATATTTAAGAGCTAGCCAATAAGAAATGCTAGTAACAGGCCAACATAATTATATCTAATACAGCGTCTCTGTGTGTTATTTGGGGCTGTCGCGGCAGTGGGACCAGGCTGGCAGGAAAACCTACTCTTAACATTGGGTTATTATTATTACTATTTCAGGTGATTTGCCTGTATGTATGTCTGAGCACCACATGTATTCCTGAAGACATTGAAAACCAGAAGAGGGCATCAGATCCCCTGGAACTGGAGTTACATGTAGTCATGAACCACCACGCAAGTGCTGGGAAACAAACCTTAGTTCTCTGGCAGGGCAGCTAGTACTCTTAATTACTGAGCCCTCCCAATATATCACTTTTATATAGTATAAAAATATGGTGGACCTGCCATTGAGTCATGCCCTGGAATATTGTACTTTCTAGTATCTTAGTATTTAGCCTAATATTCTCAACCCCTTCTTTTGCTTTAACACATGGATATAAAGAGAAAAACTCTATTTGAATTTTCCAGATTGCTTGGGTTAGACATAAATAGAAATCTACTAAGTACCAAAATATTTAAGAAACTACATATAACCTTAAGATAGTCAAAGGCATTTCATTTGTTAGGTCACCTATCCCACATATTTTTTCCAGTTTTAACAAGGACAACTTTTAAAAGTTTAACCCATTTTCACTCACAATTTGATGTCTATGGTTTTAGCTAACTACTTTTCCCTCCTGAAATGTGTGTTTCTCATGGGTATCAATATTGATCATTGTAGAGAGATGTAAGAATGAGATGCTTAGTTCACATGATTGCAGTTGAGAGCTCAGACCTCAGTGACTTGAAAGAATGACACATGAGATGTTCTTGGACACTTGGAGAGCAGCATGCAGCATGTAGCTCTCAGGATTGTGTATATAACTCAGCATGTATGTTTCAGAGAGAGAATTTAAAAATGAAAAGAGATTCCAAACGTGTCTCTTATTCTGAAATTTTGTGGCTAGGGCCCAAAGTACCTTAGAAAATTGTTTTCTATGTGGCTGAGGCAGATATGCTGTAAACTGAAGACCAGGGGTTGGCCAACCACAGACCACTAATCAGACCCCACTGCCTACTTCTGTTAATATGGTTTTATTGGTTAGCCACATGCTATCATTTATACACTGTGTATATTTCCAGACTACAACAGAGCTGAATCTTTGCAACAGTTATCAAGTGCTCATAAAGCCCTTGAAGAAACTACTATTTTTGACCTTTACAGAAAGAACTGGTGTCGAGGAAGCAGTAGGAAGCCTGCTTTCCCAACTCCAGGTCAACAGGGGGTCTTTCAGAATGTCTTGTTCTTTCTTTGTGATGAAATTATTCTTCTTATGTTGACAGCAATACTATTAAAACTGGTCGTTGGACTTTTTTTTTTTTTTTTAATCTGAGTTTAGTAAAACAAAGCTGTGAGCCAAGGGTTGCCATAGCTACACTCAGTAACTTAACTTCTGGACCAAAACCAAATGCATGTAGCTTTAGTGCCTATAAACTAAGATAATTTTCTAATTAATATATGGTAATTACACAAATTGCCAAGACTGCTGATTATTTACTTTGTAATTATAAATTTTATGCTTATGTGCTTTCATGTTATGGAGAAATTTGCATTTTCTTTTACTTAGTAGGGTGAAAATGGCCAGGAGAACACTTGACTTCTAACAGTTTGTAATTCATGGCTGTGTAAGACAGAGCACTTTTTCCAGTGGTTCAGAGGCTTTAATGTTACCTTTGGTCCTGGAACCCCTTCTCCTGGTGGGCCCCTCTCTCCTGTTGCTCCCTCAGGACCACGTGGACCCTGGTTAGGGTAGGAGAAAATGGGCAAGAGAACAGGGTTAAGAATGGGCCATGGTAAAAAGGGAGGAAAACAAGCAGAAGAGAATGGATCATTTCCATTCCCACAGACATGGTGATGACATAGTCCTGCTCTGTTTTTAGTAAGAATTATTCCTGTGCAAGCCACTCTGTCAGCTGTTAGTAATAGGATCCTCACTGGATTCAATATTCCTTCCCTCTGAAAGGCCTATGAGCTTCTCACTGTCTTCAAGTTAGAAGAAAGTGGAAATAAGTAATGTCTCAGAATAAGGGTAAGAAAACATCCTGTGAATCAGGAAGTCCAGAGCTGTGTGAACGTGAGGACAGAAAGAATTACTCATTCTCCCAGGCCTGTGAGAAGCGTGACTTCTCTTCCCACTTTCTAATCTGACAAACTCGAGTTAGTTTTGGAGTTGGGAGGACTCACAGACAATGTTGTGCATACATTCTGTAACTTCCTAAGATCGCTAATGGGGGGACATGGTGTTTAGTCCCAGTGGTTTTAATAGGTCTTCATAGCTTCTCTCAGAAGGACACTCAGAGAAGTAAGGGCTTCTCACACAGAAAACAGTGCACAGTAGGCTGCCAGAAACCCCACTCATGGGAAACTGAAAGAAAAAATGGATTTGCATCATTTGTATGTGTGTGGGGGGGGGATCCCCTGGAACTGGAGTCACAGGCATTTGTGATACCATCTGACATGGGTCCTGGGATTTGAACTTGAGTCCCCTCAAGAGCAATGCATGCTCTTAATTGCTAAGCCATCCCTTCAGTTCTCCTGTTACTTACCGAGACATGATGTCTCACTGAACCTGGAGCTGATTGTTTCTGTCTACACTGGCTAGCCATTGAGTCTCAGGATCTACCTGTCTCCACCCCAACAGTCAAAGGTTACAGATGTGCATCACTTTGGTGAAGGGTGCTGGCTTTGGAGCTTGTTGTCAGTTCAGTAGACTACTATCACAGGCCACCTCCCTTGGCTAGGGAACCCTATCAATCTATCTATTAGAGGAAATAGCTTAAGTGTGTTCCAATAATTCCTCCTTTTCTATTCATCTCCTCACCCCCCAAGAGGAGGGGATCTTTTTGACCATTGAAAACTCCCATCTTGGGGGATAAGAGATGGTCAGAGGTCAAGAGCACTGGCTTCTCTTCCAGAGGATCTAGTTTGATTCCCAGCATCCTCATGGTGTCTTGCAACTGTCTGTAACTCCTGTTTCAAGAGATTCCAACACTCTCCTCTGCCCTCTTTGGAAATCAGGCACGCATGTGCTTCACAGATACACATGCAGGCAAAAACAAAAAATAAATGAAAATGAAAATATTCCTAGTTTGGGGCATTGAGGAGATGACCAGAGGATAAAGGAATTGATGAACAATCACGAGACTTGAGCTCAGGCCTCCAGCACACATGCCAAAAGCTTTAGAGATGCTTTCTTCACAAGAGTGGCAGTGAGACAAGACTCAGCATGATGCGCATCACACATCCTCATGCAAGACATCGATTAACAAGCTGTACATGATGGCACATGCCCTTAACCCCAGCCCTTGGGAGGCTGAGGCAGGTGGATCTATATGAGTTCAAGGCCAGCCTTGTCTGCACAACCAGGACTACATTAAAGAGGCCCTGTCTCAAAAAATAAAGAAAAATAAACCTTATTTTTATCCCAGTCTTGAACACATTTTTCTTTGCTTTGCTCATATTTTAAATGTTGGTCCTTGTTATTTATGCATAGCCTACTTAGTAAAGACTTAATTAAAAGAAAAAACTAACACAGAATTTAATTTAAATTGCAATGCTTATGGGAAAGCTAGCTTTTAACTCTAAAACCTTAATCAAAAGTCTAATATCTATGACAGTTTACTCTAATGGCCAAGCAATTAACCAGAGAAAAAAAATTAAAACAAGCAAAAAAAAACTGCATTGCAAACTAAACTGAGAAGTGCCAAACTAATATTACACAATTTAACAGTGAAAGCATTAACAACTTATTCTTAACTAATGATATAACACATGAAAAAAAAAATTACATTAAATGAGAGGAATATATGTGTTGAGTTCACTTATTCATTCAACAAACACCAAATATAATAGTTTACTTCTCTACTGGTGTGATAAAACCTCATTTCCAAAAGCAACCTGGAGAGGGAAGGATTTCTTTGGTTTGAAAATTACAGTCCATCATTAGGAAAGCTATGTCATCAGCTCACGGAGGAACCTGAAAGCAGGAACTGAAGCAGGGACCATGGTGCTTACTGGCTTTCTTACATAGCTTAGACACACCTATGTAGGGATGGCATCATCCACAGTGGTCTCGGTGCTCCCACATCAATTAGCAACTAAGAAAATGCCCCCTCAGGTGGATCTAATGGAAAAATTCCCTCAACTGAGGATCCTTTTTCCTGGATGACTCTAGTTTGTGTCCAGTTGACAGAAATTAAACAATACAACTGGCTCCTTGTCAACCCACACACAAGTACATCACTGTAAATCGTAGCCTTTCCTTTGTTCTCAAGAGCTCATGTTAATAACAAAATATAAAACAGCCTCAAAGTTTAAAATTTCCAATCTTCATAGTTTGTAACAATTCCAATGTGCACATTCTCTTTAGAATCTAAAATCTTTTATCTGTGGGCTCCTCTAAAATCCAAAGTAAATTACACACGTTTTTTTTTTTTTAAAAAAAAAATATTATTATCAGAAGGACTAGAGCACAGTTGCAATCAGATCACAGCAAAAGCCAAGTTCAGCAGTGTCATTCAAATCTTGCAGATCAGTGTGTGGCATTTGTAATTCACTCATGCTTTGGAACTCCGAAGGACCTGGGCAGCCCTCTTCTGTAGCTCTGCTATGCATAGCACACACAGATTGTCTCTTAGGCTCAGGCCAGCTCCACTCCACATCTGTCATTTTCTTTGGTATTCACCCCACTGTCCTGTCTTCTCCAATATGTAAGGGCCTCTACTGTAAATGAGGTTTCATCTTCACCAATGGTCTCTCCAGGCCTTTTCAGGAACTCCAACTCTGCCATTTAGCACCAAGCCTTGTCTTCTTCCATGATCCTTTGATCCTGAGGCTTCCACAGAAACTGAGTCTGTACTTTTACCAATAGCTTCCTCACCTCAGGAACTCCAACCCTGCCACATGATGCCAGACCTCAGCTTCTCCCCATGACCCCTTCAATTCTTAATGCCTCTGCTGCAAGGGTCTGTAGTGGTATTCATGTATCAAGTTGACAAGGGATCAATTGTGCTGGTTTAATTTTTGTCAACTTGATACAAACTAGAGTCACATACGCAAAGAAACTTCAAATAGGGGATTGCCTCCACCAGATTGGACTGCGGGCATGTCTGTGGGGTGTTTTCTTCTTGATCAATTATTGATATGAGTGGGTCCTGCCCCTATGAGTGGTGCCAACACTGGTCATGCGGTCCTAAGTTGTATAAGAAAGCACTCTGAGCAAGACACGGAGATCAAGCCAGTAAGCAGCTTTTCCTCCATGGCCTCTGCATCAGCTCCTGAGCTTACACCATGCATGGCTTCCCTCAGTGATGGACTGTATGTAACCTGTAAGCTGAAATACCCCACCACCACCACCACCACCACCACTACCAAGTTTCTCCAGTAATGGCATTTTATCACAGCAACAGAATACCCGGTAGGTAAAAGTAACTGTGCTGGAGTCAGGGTCAGCAGACAGACCCACTCCTGGCCTTGGGGAGTAAATGGTCTTTTATGATAGTTACAACTGATTTCAGTGACTTTTAGATTGAGGTGCAACAATAAGTTGTACTACATTTTAACAGTTGTGAGTTAAATGTTGTCCCAGGTATTAATCACCCAATGCACGCTTGCTAGGGTTGACCAGAAGTGGATTTGAGTCCCATAACTGCTACCCCTGCCCCTTTCTGGAAGCCTGCATGTAATCCAGCCTCTGGAGCACTGGCTTACACTGAACAGTGTGGAGAGAGGCAAACTGAACAGAACCAACACCAGTCCCCCTTCCTTCCTCCTCTGCATTTCTATAACATGTCGGCCGAGGTGAAAGCAAGAGTATCGGCATTCCACGTAACTCTTGACTCCAAGCCCTGAGCTAGAGCTCATGGACACACAGTTAGGTGATTTCAAAACCATCGATCCAAGGCTTAATCACCACAAGCTGCAGTGACATTCCATACCATTAGTATGCTCTCAGGTCCTTCAGCTAAATGGAAATGAAGGAAGGTGGCTATTAGCCAGAGACGAGAAATAGCAGGCACTTGGACTAGAAGAATGATGCTGTCAATTTACTAGGCACTACAAACTACCATTTTACAAAAACACATATCTGCAAATGGCTATGTATCAGCTTTATTTTCATGTTTTAGCATGCATTTTTATTGATTATTTGGAAGTTTCACATAATGCACCCAATTATATTCACTTCCCAGTCCTCCCAGGTCCACCCCCACCCCATGCTTATGACCTCCCCCAAAACTAATATAAGAGTTCATTTTTATTTTGTATTTTAATTTGTGTATGTGTTTGTTTAGATAAGATCTCATGTAGCCCAGACCCACCTCGAATTCCTGTAGCAGAGGATGACCCTGACCTCCCTATCCTCCTACCTTTAACTCCTTAGTCCTGAGATACAGTCTGAACCATCACAGTGGATTTTTATAGCAGTGGGAATTGAACCCAGAACCTTCTGCATGTTAGGCAAGCATCCTGTCAAATGAGCTACTACATCCTCAGACCTGTGTATCACCTTTTAAAGACAGAAAGGCTTTCATAAATAATCTCACTGTCTTTTGTAAAATCTATGAGCAGTGACTACAACCACAATAGACTTATTTGGCTTTTACCAAATATATGTATAATGCAGGAACATAATTAGTACAGTCTCATCAGTGAAAGCTTTATGGCTACATTAACAATGAAATAAAATATGACTGCTCATTATGTTTATAGTATTACTTCCCTTAATAAAATTAGAGGTAAGTGTGCTAATGCATAGTAAGAATTGGCCATTATCTTCAAACAGTGTCATCTATTTTACTTTTAACCTCAAAGCAATTAGAGTTCTACTTCAGAGAATACTTTTTATTGAAAGTGCTTCGAATAAACTTGCACACACAAAGAAATTTCCTGGAGACTCTTGGCCAATTTAATTTTTATGAATTAGTGTAGGTACCGGATAAGCACCACACTAGTGTAATTACACAGAGACATGGGCTAACAGTTCAGAGTTAGGTATCAGAGCTCAAATGCTACTTCAACCATCAGCACACATACATTACTATGACACCAAGAGTGGCACTAAGCCTGAGGTCACTGGAAATGAACAGGTAAAGAGGCAAAAGACAAGTGATTTCAGCAGAATCCTTCCCAATTTCCTTGCTACTTCTAAATAATTACAATTTTTACATGGTTGATTTTATTATTACTTATTATTATTATTATATTTGACACAACATTTTTGTACTGGGCTTTTCCTCACCTTATGATCTTCCTTTCCAATTAAATCACAAACTATCACAGTGTCACAAGAATCGCATGTTCTGACAACACTGTGAAAGTGTTGTAGCTACAAAACAGACAGACAAGAATCATAAAGGCATAACTGAGCTCAGAGAAACAGCAAAGATCTCAGGGATCAAAATTAGAGGAACACTCTGTAAGCTGCTGCTGTGGCCCAGAAAACCAGAGGATTCCCCACTCCCTGAGGCACTGGGCAGGTGTTAGGCATGGTTAAAGCAGTTAAATCACTATTAGAGTTAATGAGAACTTCTTTAAGTTCTTAAGCACTCCTGATGGTCATTTCCTTTAAATGAGCTTCAGGGCTGGGGCGGTCTGACTCTCTAATGAGCAAACGTTAGACTCCCTTGCTGCCCTGGCTTCCAGGAACAAAAGGACTGCCAATAAAGAGATCACCCTTACTATCCTTATGCCACCACAGCCATCATTTACGACCTCTTGGGAGAATCACACAGTGATCTCCATGGTTCTCAAAGACACAGCCTTGGCCAGGGCAATTTCAAATAGTTCGTGTCAGCCTATACAGACTTAGATGACCCTGTAGCCATTTCCATCTAGGCCACAAGGGGAGAGCAGATGGACTTCTGTGGACAACGCTAAAGAGGCAAAGGTGTGATTGGTGCAAGAAGCAAAAGCCTTCATTTACAGTCGAGGTATAGTGTAGCTGGATAAAGGATACATTACTAAGAAATTGTAAACAGGCTGCAAATATTTCAAAGGGCACAGTTGCTGGTGGTAGACAGTGGAATTAGCCTGTAATGCAGTTTTCCATCACTGTTAAGAACATATGGATCAAGATATCTCTTTCTTTTCTCTCCCTCTATGTCCGTCCCCTATCTCCACAATCCAGTTCCCCCATGTTCTCCTCCCCCTCCCTCTTTCTCTCCTCCTCCCCTTCTGCTTTCCACCCCTGCCATGATGCTCCCCATTTTCTCAGGAGACCTTGTCTATTTCCTCTCCCAGGGGGATCTGTGTATGTCTCTCTTAGGGTTCTCCTTGTTATCTACATTCTCTAGGGTCATGGACTATAGGCTGGTCATCCTTCGCTTTATATCTATTATTCACTTATGAGTGAGGACATACTGTGAAAGAGGAGGTTTCTTGATCGAGGGAGTCATTATGGGGATAGCGAGAAACCTGGCACTAAGGGAAATCACAGAAATCCACAAGGATGACCCCCACTAAGACCCTAAGCATTACCTAAACTGGCCTTCCCCTGTAATAAGATTGATGACTCTGAATTATCATCATAGAACCTTCATCCAGCAACTGATGGAATCAGATGCAGAGGTCCACAGCCAAGAACTGGGCCAAGCTCCCAGAGTCCAGTCGAAGAGAGGGAGGAGTGATAATATGAGCAAAGGAGGCAAGGCCACTTTGGGGATATCCACAGAAACAGCTGACCTGAGCTAGTGACAGCTGGGGAACCTGCATAGGAACCTGCATAGACCCTCTGAATGTGGGTGACAGCTGTGTGGCTTGGGCAGTCTGTGGGGCCACAGGCAGTGTGACTAGGATTTATCCATAGTGCTTGAACTGGCTTTTTGGAGCCCATTCTCTTTGGATGGATACCCTGCTCAGCCTAGATGTAGGGGAAGGGCCTTGGTCCTGCCCGAAAGAGATGTGCCGGACTTTGTTGCCTCCCCATGGGAAGCCTTACCCTCTCTGAGTAGTAGATGCGGAGTAGATGGGGAAAGGTGATGAGAATGAGAGGAGAGGAGGGAGTGGGAGCTGGGATTGATGTAAAATGAGAAAAGACTAAATTTAAAAAAATGTTAAATAGGAAAAAAAGACGATAAGGGTCACTGGGTAGTGGTGGGTACATACCTTTAATCCCAGCACTCGGTGCATCTGTGCGAGTTCAAGTCCGGCCTAGTCAACAGAGCAAGTTCTAGGACAGCAAAGGGCTACACAGGGTAACCCTTTCTCAAGACTCCTCCCACCCCAACCCCAAAAAGGAGAACATAAGAGCCAGGGAGAAGGCTTAATGGGTAAAGGGGATTGCTGCCATTAGACAAATGGAGTTCAATCCCTAGAACCCATGAAGAAAGTAGAGAACTGACTCTTACGTGTATCATGGCTCATGAGTGTCCACTCTACAACATGCATGCCTACACATACACAGAGAGAGACAGAGACACAGACACACATACACAGAGAGAGAGTCAGACAGACACACACAGAAAAAGAGAGAGAGTGAGAGAGAGAGAATAAAAGAGGAAGGAAGCTACTATCGTAAACTAAGAAACTATTAAAGATGTAGATAAAGCAAATAAATGTTAACTAAAAAAATACGGCAACAATGATAAATAATTTAGGTAGAACGAAATTATGTAGAACAATGTTAATAAGTGATAAATATCTAGACTCTACAAGAAGTAAAATTAGAGGACTATAGAGAGGACTACTATAGAGAGGACTATATAGAGGACTATAGAGGACTACTCTAGCAATTCGGGTCTCAACACCACACTGAGGCAGCTCACAACCACCTGCAACTCCAGCTCCAGAAGATCCAAGCCCCTCCTCAGGCCCTGTAGATCCCTGAAATCATAACACACACACAAACACATACACACACACACACACATCACAAACCCTCAGACAACATACTGCTGTTTCATTCACAGGTCCTGCAAAGAAGCATGTTTCTATTAGTGATTTCATGAAGCAATATGCACCCAGGGAGGCTAGCTGCTTTGGCTCCTGCCTTAGTGAATTAAGTACAGTTCTTTGCTGTGAATAAAGATTACTTGAGAAGTTATGAAGAACCTCATAACAGAAGAATCATGTTTTATTCATTTCCTCTTCAGATCTCTCTTGACAGAACCTTTTTTTCCTTTTCCAACAATAGCAAACTTCAAAGCTACATAAGGTGGGAGCTGTGAATAACACAGGCTTTATCTTTGTCCCATCACCAATCCTAACTTTAGAGCAGTCTCAGGCATTACATAATGAGAAGATCCTCGGTCGGGTCCCCTGTCAGCTCCCATTGTTCTCAGAGATTCAGTGATAACAGCAACCATGTATAGACAATGGACAACAATCTTGACCTGTCACCTCCTAGGAACCTTTGACACATGAGAACTCTTTTCTCTTTGTCAAGCTGATTAATCTTACAAGAGATTACAATAAGAGAAGACCAGTTGAAAAGATCACACAAAATACTTAATTAGGGTTTCTATTGCTGTGAAATGACACCATGACCACAGGCAACTTTACATATAGCCTATTTCAACCATGAAAAGAAATGTAGATTTGGTTCTGCTTTTATTAATGTACCTTTTTACCGTGAAATCTTACAGAGCAGAGTCACTTGGCCATGTGTCTTTACCAGAACAAACACATAGAATTATATTTTCCCATTTGTTGGCCACTTACAGGCTGTCCCGGTTCACCAACTCCAATCGGTCCTGGGGCCCCTGTTCTTCCTTCCTGGCCCCTTTCTCCCTGAGACAGGAAGAGTAGAATTAGATGGTGAGTTTTTAAATAAACAATAAGATGATACAAAATGTTCTGGCTATTTCAACAGGGATAAATAGCAAAATAACCAATACTTTTCATATTCCAGAAAAACAACAAAAAGTAATATTTGGAGGAGGTTAATTAGTTTCAATGTGAATTGAAGCAAACAAATCACCCTAACATGTTCACCAACGCTTGTGTAAATGCAACCCAGTATCTCCAGCCTTATAAATGATAGTGTAGCAACAGGATGTTTCTGAGATAGCCAAGATGAGATGTGCACTACTCCCTGCCACTATCCTAAAATGCCACCCGTTCCTTGTCTCCATGCTCTCCATTTCACCTCTCCTTAAACTGTTTCACATTGATTTCCTTCCAAAGAATCTTTCTCCAGCAACATAGCCACATAAGTTCTGCCTTCCCTGGAGTCTCTATGTTGTTATGGCTGAAATGCTGGCTAGGTGTGGTAGCACTTGACTGCCTGTTTTTTTTTTTTTTTTTTTTTTTTTTTTTTTGTTTTGTTTTTTTGTTTTTTTTTTTTTTTTCAGTTTAAATTAGAAAAAATTTTATTTATCAATCCCAGTTCCCTCTCCTTCACATCCTCCCATGCCCTCCACTGACCCCCATCTCATCCCTCTTCTGCTCCATAGAAAGGGTGAAGCCTTCCATGGGGGATCATCAAAGTCTGTCACATCATTTGCGGTGGGGCCAAGGCCCTACATGGTGTGTATAGGTCCTCTATGGGGAGTGGGCTCCCCAAATCCATTTATGCAACAAGTATAAATGCTCTTCCATTACCAGAGGCCCCATAGACTGCCCAGTCCTCCTAACTGACACCCACATTCAGGGGGCCTGGTTCCACCCTATGCTGATTTCCAAACTGTCAGTCTGGTGTCTATGAGCTCCCCCTTGTTCAGGTCATCTGTCTCTGTGGGTTTCCCCAGCCTGGTCTTGACCCCTTTGCTCATCACTCCTTCCTTTCTACAACTGGATTCCAAGAATTAGGCTCAGTGCTTAGCTGTGGGTATCTACTTCAGCTTCCATGAGCTACTGGATGAAGGCTCTAAGGTAGTCAGTCATCAACCTCATTATAAGGCAAGGGCATTTAAGATAGCCTCCACTATTGCTTAGATTCTTAGCTGGGGTCATCTTTGTATATCTCTGGACATTTCCCTAGTGCCAGATTTCTCTTTTTCCTAACTCCCTCTCCCATCCCCTCATGCTCCCAATTTGCTCAGGAGATCTTGTCCCTTTTCCCCTTCTCCAAGGGACCATGTATGTCCCTCTTAGGGTCCTCCTTGTTTCTTAGATTCTCTAGTGGTATGAATTGTAGGCTGGTAATTCTTTGCTCTATATCTAATATCCATATATGAGTGAGTACATAACATGTTTTTTTTTTTTTTCTGTGTCTGGGTTACCTCATTCAGGGTGATTTCTTCTAGTTCCATCCATTTGCCTGAGAATTTCAAGATTCCATTTTTTTTTTTTTTACTCTGAGTAATATTCCATTGTGTAAATGTACCATATTTTCTGTATCCATTCTTCAGCTGAGGGGCATCCAGATTGCTTCAAGGTTCTGGCTATTATAAGTAATTCTGCTGTGAACATAGTTGAACAGATGTCCTTGTATGAATGTGCATTCTTTGGGTATATGCCCAAGAGTGGAATCTCTAGATCTTGATGTAGACTGATTCCCATTTTCCTGAGGAACTGCCATACTGATTTCCAAAGTGGCTGTACAAGTTTGCACTCAGCAGTGGAGGAGTGTTCCCCTTTCTCCATATCCTCTTCATCATAAACTGTCGCTGGTGTTTTTTAATTTTAGCCATTCTGACAGGTGTAAGATGGTATCTCCGAGTTGTTTTGATTTTTATTTCCCTGACAGCTAAGTATGCTGAGAAATTTCTTAAGTGTCTTTCATCCATTTTAGATTCCTCTTTTGAGAATTCTCTATTTAATTCTGTACCCTGCTTTTTAATTGGATTGTTTTGTGTTTTGGTGACTAGCTTCTTGAGTTCTTTGTATATTTTGTTGATCAGCCCTCTGTCAGATGTAGGGTTGATGAAAATCTTTTCCCAGTCTGTGGGCTGCAGGTTGGTTTTGTCAACTGTGTCCTTTGCCTTACAGAAGCTTCCTATAGGACCTGAGGAGGTCCTCTTTATTAATTGTTGATCTCAGTGTCTGTGCTACTGGTATCATATTCAGAAAGTGGTCTCCTGTACCAATTAATTCAAGGGTACCTCCCACTTTCTCTTCTAAGAGGTACAGTGTGGCTGGATTTATATTGAGTTCTTTGATCCATTTGAACTTAAGTCTTGTACATGGTGATAGATATGGATCTATCTGCAATCTTCTACGTGCCAGCATTTAGTTATGCTAGCAACATTTGTGAAAGATGCTTTCTTTTTTAGCTTCTTGTCAAAAATCAGGAGTTCATAGGTGTGTGGGTTAATATCATGGTTTTCCATTGGTCTACCTGTCTACTTTTGTGCCCATACCAAGCTGTTTTCAGGGCTATAGCTCTATAGTGGAGCTTAAAGTTGGGGATGGTGATGCCTCCTGAAGTTCTTTTATTGTACAGGGTTGTTTTGGTTATCCTGGGTCTTTTGTTTTCCATATAAAATTGACTTTTATTCTTTCAATGTCCGTGAAGAATTGTGTTGGGATTTTGATGGGGATTGCATTGAATTTATAGATTGCTTTTGGCAAGATTGCCATTTTTGCTGTGTCAATCCTACCTGTCTATGAGCACGGGAGATCTTTTCATTTTCTGGTATCTTCTTTAATTTCTCTCTTTAAAGACTCTTGTTATATAGGTCTTTTACTTGTTTGGTAAGCATTACCCCCAAGATATTTTATGTTGTTTGTAGCTATTGTTAAGGGTGATGTTTCTGTGACTTCTTTCTCAGTCCCTTTACTGTCTGTATGTAGTAGGGCTACTGATTTTTTTTTTTTTTTTTTACTTAATTTTGTATCCTGCCACTTTGCTGAAGCACTTGACTCTAAGCCCTTTAAGCACAGTGAGTAGTACTGCTTCCTTTCAGGTCTGTATTAAAGTCTAATTGTCTGGACCACGAAGTTCACTTAAAATCAGTACATACCTCTGCTCTCTCATACGTTCTGACATGGAGCATCCCAGGATGATCTTCCCTACCTTTGTAGTTCCTTACAAATCTTCATTCCAGCATTTACTCACTCAGTGTGTTGGGCCTCTAGGTTCTGCTCATATAATGTGAGCAGGTGGTAGTTTACATATTAAGATGCTATACTTCCCACTAGAATTATTTGCACATTAGAGTTTAAAGCCCAGGAAAACCCAGCAGAACTACATGTGCATTGTGAAAGATGGGACATTTGGAGACAAGCAAAGTATTCATTCCAACCAAATCAAAACATATCTTGATTATTCTATCGTAACTATCCAAGACCATGATGCTGCAGTGTGCAAAGACCCAAAATGTATGTAACTGCCACAGAAAATGCAGAATGTGCACTCCACTTTCCCAGTCCAAATACTCATCTATGGACAAAGAAGCAAATATATTTACCTTAACACCTTGCTGTCCAATACCAGGGACTCCCGGGGGACCATAAGGACCAGGAGGACCTGGCTCACCCTAGAGTGAAAAAGAGTGGCATGTTAGGTCAGCTCAATAATATTTGTTGAGCAGTTCTTTCATGAGCAGGATTTTAATGAGAGCTCTGAGAAAAAACAGCAAAGCCTAGTACTCAGTCCCTGCCCTCAGTTGTTTATAGTTTTTAATACACATTTACATATATTTCAACTTATAATAAAAAATAAACATAATATTCCTTGACCCCTCTGGCTCCTATCATCATTCCTCCCTCTCTTCAGCAGGATTCCTTGAGCTCAGCCCAATGTCTGGCTATGAGTCTCTGAATCTGTTTCCATAAGTCACTGGATGAATTCTCTCTGGTGACAATTGAGGTAGTCACCAATCTGATAACGTGTCCACTACTGCTAGGAATCTTAGCTGGGGTCGTCCTTGTAAATTTGTATGAGTTCCCCCTGTTTTCCTTTCACTTCTACCTGACCCTGAAAGGTGCCCCACTTCCAGTCATCTAAGGATTTAGGGGCCAGAAAGGTCAAGGAACAAGAAAACTCACAGAAGCAACTAATCTGGCTCACAGGAGCTCATGGAGTCTGAATCAACTCCATGGGAGCCTGCATGGGACTGACCTAAACCCTCTACAGACATGCGACCGTTGTGTATCTTGGTCTATCTGTGGAACTTCTAACAATGGGAGCAGCAGCTGACCCTAGAGCTTTGTCTGGCTCAGGGGACTTGTATTCCTCATACTAGATGCCTTGTCCAACTTATATACAAGGGGGAAGTGCTTAATCCTACCGCAACTTGTCATGTATCTTAAATCATACATATACAAAACTTAAGTTCCTATTATATTGATTAATTTTAGTATGTTGTTGTAACGAGTAAAGTTTTTCTGTCCATGCTGGTCTTGTCCCACCGCCACGCCAGCCCCAAATAACACACTGAGACTCTGTATTTGATATAATGCTGTTGGCCAGTTATTTGTTTCTTATCGGCTAGCTCTGTCTTAAATATTAACCCATTTCTGTTAATCTATGTATTTCCACGTCGTCTCATCTTACTGGAGAGTGGGCTGGCATCCTGCTCTCTCCAGACTCTCCATCTTGACTCCTCCTTCCTACTTCCTCTTTCCTCCTCTCCTAGTCCCTTCTCTCTTGCTTTCCTATTGGCCAACAGTGCCTTATTCATTAACCAGTATGAGAAACATATTTACAGAATGACATCTCCCATCATGTTGTCTCCAAGTTTTTATATGCCCACTTGACACTTTAATTTATGCTAAGGGATAATTTTACCCACTCTCATATTTAAGGTCAGGCTTTATCCATGTAAGAGATTTCTCTTCAAGTTTACTAGAGGTGAAGCTAGACATACACCGAGACCAGACTTAAGTTATGGAAAACTCAAGTTAAAGAAAATAAAAGGGTGTTTTTTGTTTGTTTGTTTTTTGTTTTTTGGGTTTTTTTTTTTTTTGGCTAGGTTTGATTTTCTCCTAGAGACCTATAACTTTAGAGGGGACAGAGAAAAATCAAAGGAATATTTTACTGACATGGAACAACATGGCATTAGAGAAGCCTGTGGGCCGTGACCAACTGTAAAAATAAAATGAACAAGAAGAAAAGTCAACTTCCCAAAACACATGTCCAGATGCAAAATTAATTTAAACACAAGAAACCTTAGGGACCCTTTGGCATTTGGGTGATGGCATTCACAACTGTCTATTGCTCATGCTGTTAAGAAAATCCAGTCTGGCAGATAAATCAAGTGAAATTTCCTTTTGAAATTCTACAGTTGCTCCAGCTTTCTCCAAATGTTCTATATCAGGCAGCTAAAGTCCATTCTTATTTTACACATTCTGTCCATGGAATATCTCTCTTTTTCTTCATATCAGACATAAAAGTTCATACCAAATTTGAATCTGTTTTCTTAATCTTAAAATATAAGGCAGAGTTAGAATAGACTCAGCCTCCTGGAGACAACAACTTTTTTCTCTCTAAAGAACATTGCCTTGCAGGTTCTTACACTTTCTTTCTAGTTTGGAATGCCCATGTATGTTATATGAGTCCCATATGGGTAGCTGAGCCCATTGGTCCATAAAGGGACACCATATACCTGCTATGTGGGTGACCATGAAGTAAATACAGAGAAGTTTAAGACATGCTTCTCATTTATTTTTTAAATGTAACATGGACATTTTCTCTGAAAAAGGCAAATATTTGACAGATAATACAGTACAACCACCCACTCCCACCCCAAGGCAGCACCTCGGGAAAATACTAAACATGGGGCTGGGTATGTGTTTGGGTTTTATGGTTTTGTTTGTTTAATGTTCTATTACATTTGTTTGTTTGTTTGTTTGTTTACTGGGTGTATATGTGTGAGTTCCCATGCCATGGCACACAGATGGAGGTCAGAGGACATTTAAGACTTGGTTCCCACCTTCTACCATGTGAGTCTCGGGGACTGATATTAGATCACCAGTACTGGCAGCAAGCACCATTACCCACTCAACACTCTTGGTGCTTTTCATTATATTTTATTTATTTTAAGAAGATTAAAAGAAAAAAGACATCTGGAATGGAACTATTCCAAAGTCATAACAATTTTAGAAATTTGACTTTTTAGTCTCTGCTTTATTTTAATAATTAACAAATCTTCAATGTATATTGTACATGGTTTATGTCCAAACAGTCCTACAAAATAGCAAAGACATTCACTTAAAATACACATAACTAGTTTTTTCAAGATAAAATCTTCCTATTAATATTGGTGTAAGATAACCTACTCTATTAAAAAAAAAAAAAAAAAAACCTCCAGTTATCAAGAAAAAGGTAAATTACTCCATGACAAGATAAGGTTAAAAAAATTAAAACAGCCTTAATATTTTAAACATATTTATTTGGATAGCTTTTTAGCTAAATACTTTATTTTGGAAGATAATTAAAGAGGTTACTGTGTTAATAGTGTCCTCATTTCAATTTTTTGTTTGTTTTTGGAGACAGCCCTAGCTGTTCTGGAACTTGTTTGTTGACTAGGCTGGCCTCAAACTCACTGAGATCCAGCTGCCTCTGCCTACTGAGTGCTGGGATTAAAGGAGTGCACTACTACCACCCATCTTTCAAGTCAATTTTTAAGAAATTAACCTGTTGTATAGCTAATCTTTTTTAAAACATGTTCTTTAATTTTTGCTTCTTTAAATTTAAAAGACCAGTTTTAGAAAAATATTAAAATGCAATTATAACATAAAACCTTAAATTCACTTATTCTGTTTTGCTCCTTTAAATATAGTTTTGTTTCCTGATAGGTCAGAAGACACTTGCGCTAAACATTTTGGGAAATCAGAGTTACTGTGAGTGTGGAAGCTTTACCCTAGTCAGTGCTTATCTGTAAATTTGATACTGAAAATAAACTGCTGCTCAGGTTTCCAAGAAAGTTCCCTTTAACTACTGACAGAGAATTGGTTTGATAGTTACCATGACAAATGTGACCCAAGATCATCAAGAAGAGAATAAGCCATCCCACCCCTGAGCCCAGGACGTCCCTTGCCCTGCCTAGTTGGTACCATTCTGCTTTTTCAAAAGAATTCCAGGGATGTGAAGAGTGTGGGAGGATTGCTTTCCTTGACTGCAAAACAGCTCATGAGTAACTCATCTTCGCCTGCTACTATCTTAAGCTTTATTCCCAGGAGATTAGTGTCACAACATAGGACCCATAAGCAAGCACTGATGTAGAGTTAATGTTTATTCCCTTTGCATTTTCCCTTCAATTACCCCACCATGCCCATGGTGGTAAAGAAAGTGATACTCATTGTGAGACATGCTCAGTAGGGCAGGGCATACAGAGGAATCCACACTCAGAATTGCTCTCTGGGAATTCAGTAAAGCAACATAGACAAGAGAATCCTCTAGACTTTATCCTTTGTCTCTATTATTCCTGACAGTCCTAAGCAGCATACATGTATGTGCACACACATGCACGGACCATGTACCTGCAACACTACTGCACTTGCTAGTTCCCTATTTCACTTTCCTTGACTACCAGAACCATTTGCCACATGAAAGCATTAAGAGACCTGGTTAGATGTATAACCCCACAGAGGTTTAATGGTTTGTTTTCTATGGTCTTCTTCTGAATAGAAGAATGAGCATGGGTGGGACAATGAGTAGGTCAGGTCCTTCTTAGAAATTATAAATGCCTCTGTTGCTCTGGGCCTCAAGTGAGAAGAAGCCAATGTGAAATGAAACCCACTGTCTTTTTTATTTAAATTAAAAACAATCTTATTTTACATACTAATCCCAGTTCCCTCTCCAACCCCCCTTCCCACTCCCATCTACTCCTCAGGAAGGGTGAGGCCTCCTATGGGAGATCATCAAAGTCTATCACATAAATTGGGGCAGGACCTAAGCCCTCCCCCATGTACCTAGGCTGAGAGAGTGTCCCTCCATTGGGAATGGGCTCCCATAGACCACTCACATTATCTCATTTAATATTAAAACAATCCTAGGATTTTCTCCCATTTCAGAGTGGAAGAATATAATACACATTTCGAGCCCACTTTTCACTATACATAGAATCACATGGAAAATAAAACATGGCCTTGGAGCCATTTAGTTCAATGGACTTAGTTCTTTCATTTGCAATATTAGATCATTTATGAGATTCTAAAATGGGAAATGAAAAGGATCATAGGTACCTCACAGGACTGTTGAGAAGATTCAAATTGTTGCCTGTAAAATTTCCAAGTCATATCCAAGCATATACTCCAGATTTTTATTATGTGACAATTCAATTGTTATTCACTTTATTGACCAATCTCCTACAAGGTCTGGTGCTCTGCAAATATCTGGTGAACAGCAATCTATGTCTGTAATTGAGTATCAGTGAATCATGACTCACATTACATCCATATTTTGCAGATGCTTATAGTCTGTCCAGAGAGACAAGGAAATGAGAAAGCAAACACAAGCTTGTGGATTAGCTAGAATAGAGATGCTAACAGAACATGTACATCTCTTAGGAAAAATGTTTAATTCTGCCTCAAG